GGCGCAGGAGAGCAGAGCCCGGGATTCGACGCCCGCGGAAAGCGCCTGGCGGTCCGCACCTCCGCCGGCCCCACCCGGGGCGCCGCACGCTAATCGGGGCGCGCGGGGTGTCGCCCGTCCGCGCGGAGCCCCCGGGACAGTAATGTCCACGTCAGAGCCTTTCCAGAGGTGTGCAGCGTTTACGCTTTGCAGTGTGTGTTGAGCCTCCGAGTCCTCAGCTTAATGACGCACCGGGAAAGTGCTAAACGGCGTGCAATTAAACGGACCCCGGTTTCCTTGATTAAGTATCTCTTCCTTGCTTATCACATCTGGCTGAAAGAAAGTTTTTCCAAAGAGTGGCTTTTGGTGTTAATCCAGAAAACGGGCACGCTGCAGAGCTCCATTGTATGCCCAGGTGGGAAGGTGGAGCAGATGCCTGTTGGAAGTGTTGCCTGCAGTCCTCAAACAATCCAGGCAAACACTGTGAAGCAGAGGTGTTTCGGGTTAGAGTTGACACTTCATGCTGTCGCATTTAATGTTCATCGAAAAGAAACATGATTATGTCAGAGTAGAGCTAACCGTGTGAAATAGTGACTCTTCTTAACCAAAAAGCGTAAGTCCTCTAAGAGGAAGTTCTCTTAGTTCTTGATAAACAATGGTTGCACTTTCTGGAACTGTAGTACAGTGCTTCCAGTTACGTAAAAATGGTTTGTGTATGTTAGACCCTATAATTTTAGGTCTGACCAATCAATTAAAATCTCAGCAAAGGAAGCTTGACTGATTTCTGGAAAAGGGAAATTTCCAGTGTGCTTTTGAGAGGCAAGATCCCTCTTCCACCAGCTGTTTTTCAACCGGATGGTGGCATAGGCAATATTAGCGCCTAGAGATTTCCTGGAGTTACTGAATTTGCGAAAGAAAAATGATCTTAGGCCATGCACACGCAGTGAATGAGGTGAGGCAGGTGTCCCAAGTGGAGGTGGCAGGTTGGTGGAGGCCGTGGAGATAAGCGCGGAAAGGGGGCAGTCCGCACTCCGGTGCGGGTCCCCGCTGCTCTTCGGGAAGTCCCGCCCAGGCTGCTAGATTCTTCTCTCTCTCCTTCTCTGCATAGCATGGAAACCAGATATATGTGCTGTTCATGGGTAGGTGTCTTACGTAACCCTTCCAGGCCCTTTATGAGTCATGTGCCGTGAGCACCCTCAGTGTCTTCACAGATGAGGACACTGTGCTACAGACTGCCTAAGTAACTTGCCCAAATTTACACCACGGGAAGTGGCAGTGCCACGACTGGAACCCTGGCAGCCTGGACCCACAGCTTATGGTGAACCACACTTGCTCCCTATGTGTTCTTTTCTAGGGCGACTCACAGCCTCCTGAAAGTGCGTAGCATTTCTCGCCTGAAAACACTTGTGGTCCGTTTAAGCCTGCAGCCCTACTTTCCTGTTTGCGGAAGTAAAGACCACCCAAAGGGAGAACACGCAAAGGCTGCTCATACCCAGGGAGTCAGCTACCATTGCATTTAACCAGCAGCTCCCAAGGCAGGCAGAGCAGTGGGAAAGTGACGGCTATGGTCATTGGAGGATGTTTGCAAGAGGGAGCTCTGGGCTGCCTCAGGAGAAGTGCAGTGTCCACTTGGCCATTTAGGTGCGCGTGTTTGGCTTTTTTTCTGGTTGGTCCCACAAGAAGGAAAAAACGAAGGAAGTTATCAGCCCTTGTGGTTTGCAGCAAATTGCTACAGGGGTTATGGTTTGGCTTCCTGTACATATTGCTATGGACACTCTTGTACTGGCTACTGTAGATAGCAGATTTCCTTTCTGGGCTTGAGTTGGTCCATGTTGTGGACCAGAGTCTTTACAGATAGTCTGGCCCTTGTCTCTTGATATACTGAGTCTTTCATGGGGGAAGGGCTTACAGTGTTTACTCCCTAATGCTCCAGTTACAGTTCCCTGTACGGGGAGTTATGGCTGCTGACTGCCTGGCCTGCACAGCTGGAACTGACCCGCTGCTTCACAAATAGCTGTACACTAGGGAAGGTGGGCATAGGTCCGGCTTTCAGGGCAACTGCCTGTGTTAAACGTGTTGAGTTTCCCTGTTAAGGTGACGGGAGAACAAGGGAAAGGGCGCAGGAAGAGAAAACCTGACTCTGAGGGAGGCGGGAAGAGAGGACTAAAGCAAAAAGCTATGCGGGGGGCTGGGGTTGCAGCTCACGGGTAGTGTGTGGTTTGAGAGACCCTGGGTTCAAGCCCCAGCACACCCACCCACCCAGGGCTGTGCTTTCATGCCCAGGTCAGGTGAGAATCTGAAAGCACAGAGGTCCCAACATTTCAGATGGAAAAGAACTGTAACAGTAATTGATAAAACCGTCCTGAGCTGATCATGATTCTTGATGATGGTGAATGTCAGGTTGCACTCACACAGGCAGCTCAGAGCAGGGCAGGTAAAAAGCACCTCTGTGATAGGATGAGTGTGTGTAAGATGAGGTAGGTGAGTCGCTTACATACCAGGATCGCTGTAAATCCCCTCAACACTGATACACTGAGAAAGAAACCATTTTTACATATTCTGTGCAGTAGGTGATTGTCAGTTTTATTTCTCTAAAAAAGGAAGGAAAATTATGTTATTTTTAATTATTTTAAAACAAATTAAAATCACATTACATGTGTGTTTGAATATTCAATAAGAATTTAAAATAGTAGTAATAATAATAGTTGCCATGTTGGAAGCGTTCACTGTTTGTCAGACATTTACATGAATTACCTCGTTCACTTAATCACAAAAATCTTATGAGGCAAGTACTCTTCATATTTCCATTTTATTGACAGGGAAACTGATTCTCAGAAAATTTAAATAACTTTCCTTAAATCATGGTCTACTAAATGACTGGGATTCAAACTACATTGAGACTTTTGAGGCTATGTTCTTTTTGTTTTCTTTTTAAATTTTAAAAGGCCTTTATTTAGAATATTTTTAAATTTATTGAAAAACTTAGAAGATGATACACAAAGCGCCTATATATACTCTGCGTCTGTCCCATATACTTTTTAGCTGGTCTCTCCGATTACTGACGTCTTACATTAGGGTGCTGCAGTTGTTACAGTGTCCACATGTTCGTACTGACCCAGGCTCATCCTGCCCTCACAGGTGTTCTCTACCTAGCGCCCTTCCTCTGTTGCCAGAGTCTGTCGTGCGTTCTTCATCTCCTCTTCACTGTGACGGTTTCCCGGGCTTTTCTTGTTTTAGACGATGTTTTGGGGCATACTGGTTGTTCCTTAACTGGCGTTTGTCTGATGTTTTTCTCCTAATGAAGTTGGGGGAAGAAGAGCACGGAGGCAGCATGCTATTTTCATCACAGCATCCGGGGTACATCCTGTTTGAGTGAGTTACTGCTCTTGACCCTAACCATGGTTGAGGTAGTGTTTGTCACTTCTACACTGTAAATTTTACCCTTTGTCCTCCTGTTTCTACACCATACCCTTTGGGAGAACGTTAGCGTGTGTACCGCTGGAGCGAGCACTGTAACCTTCCGTAGAAAGTCACTTTGTGCAGCCACTCCTTCAGGAGTGGAGATATTCATCCCTTCTCCGAAGGTAGCCTTGGTTTTAAACCTCTGTGCTCGTCCTCCTATCTTACAATGTCCTCCTAGATCTTGTTTGTACTCTAAACTACTAACCATTTCTCTGGCACCCTTTATAGCAAAATTTCTCAAAGGGGCCGTTTATCATCAGATACCTTTGTTCCTGCTTGAACTTCGTCCAGCAGGCTTTCATCCTCTACTTCTCCTTTTGAAATTCCTCCTCCTCATGGCTGAGTACAAGGATCAGTGCTCAGTCTTCATCTAATGTGACGCCATTGATCACTCCTTTCGCTCTAAGGCACAGCCTCCACTTCTAGAACACAAGTCTCCTTTTTGGTTTCTCTTCATACAAAATCCTTTTCTGTTTAAGAACGCTTCTGAGCTTACCCGTGGGCTCTTTTCTTCTGTTTATTTACAGTACCCACTGCCTTGTCGATTCCGTGTGTATGCCAGTAACCCGCATTTCTAGTCCCGATCTCGCTCTTGAATGTCACCCACCTGTTTTCCTGTTAGATACTTGCAGCTTAACATTCCAGAAGCGCCACTCCCCCATCTCAGGTAATGGCAGGCCCATCCTTCATTTACTTAAGCGAAAACGCTACTCTTGAGCTTCTTTCTTTCACAGGCCACATCCTGTCTCTCGGCAGTTGATGTTTTCACTCTGACTGTAGGAGCTGTCTGATCTTCTAATCATTTATCGTGGCCCCAGCTACGTGGTGTCTCACCTGGGTTGTAGTCACCTCGCCGGACTCCCTACTGCAGCCCTTGAGCTCCTCAGGTCTCTTTCCAGCATAACAGGCTGTTAAGCTTGTTAAGCAAGTGCAATGTATGATAACGTTATTCTGTTCGGAACTCTCTGGAAACTTCCCAGCCTACTCAGGATAGACACCGAACCTCTACACAGCTTCTGCAGCTTCCTTCACACTCTTACTTGCCTGACTCCACCCATACTATCCGCCTGGTTCCTTCAGTATGCAAGGAGTACTTCTCCTGTAGGTAATCTTGAGGTTTGCGTCTTTACTTGCTTCATAGTTTTGCTTAACTGTCACCCAGCCTGACCTCTCTTTTAAAATTGATATCCCCCCCTCCACTCCTTATGGCCTTTTCCTCTTGTGCTTTGATTTTTCTCTGTATAATTTATCCCCTCTTACACTCTCCATGTTTGTTTATTGTCCATTTAGAAATAAGCTTCATAAGAGCAGGACTTTGTTTTCGTTATTTTGTACTGTCTTAGCATTGAAAATTGGACTTGGCACAGGGCAGACATTCTTTGAATGTCATCTGTATTTTGAATGAACTAATGAATGGACAGATGTCTATTAAACGTCCAGAATGGGCCAGGCATGGTAGTGCAGGCCTGTGAGCCCAGCACCTTGGAAGGCTGGAGCAAGAGGATTGCAAGTTCCAGCCCAGCCAACAACTTAAGTGAAACCCTGCCTCAAAACCAAAGAAATAAAAAGGGCTGGGGATGTAATTAGAGAAGGCTTGGGTTCAATCCGCAGTAACGCTAAAAAAAATACTACAGCCTTGATAGGCAGAGTGCTAGACACAGCCTTGTACTGTATATAACAACATGGTTCCTGGTTGTACAGATTTACAAATTCAGTGCAGGCAACAGATCTGTCAAATGCTGTAAGAATGTTAAGCCAGGAATATGGAAAAATAGTATTGATAATCACTTAGGTGTGAAGTTACACAGCCTGTGAGTTGTAATGTGAAACACTGGTATTGCGCAGGAAGTGTCCTTAAATTCTCTCCGAGAGGGAGTTAATTTTAGGTTAGGTCCTTACCCTGTTCTGAGAGATACCTGAAAACTCATGCACAGTGTTCCCTGCCCCCAGTTATGGAGCATCAACGTTACTCAGGTATGGAATACAAAGCACACATGCGCTTAAGTGTGGAAAACTATTTTATTTACTAGTAGGTGTTAATACTTACAGGGATATAGCTAACTTACACTTTCGAGTTACTTTTTTTGGAATTAAAAAATATCTTTAATCCTAGAAGTTCTTTTAAAAGATTGATTTTGTGTGTGCTTTGTAGGAGGAGGAGGAGAGGCGTCTTTGTGTTCCCTCTACATTATCTAAAAACAAACTGCAAGAGTGCTGTCTTAATTTCCTAGTGGTTTTGGGATGTGGTTTTCTGCAAATACAAAGGTACCAAGTGGGGGTTTGTTGCGTTATTCTTAAAAGCCCCTTCGGGGACACATTTGCATATGATTTCTGCAACTGAATTCCCCAGTGGTTAGCACTACCTCCACTGCCCTGCACTTTCAAAACAACCTCCAAAAAGACCTCTGAGTGTCTAGTAACACTGGAAAAACAATCACTGTTTTCAGATAAAACTGATTTCCCAACTTTTCAAGTCGCCCTTTTGGTTTATATTGTGCCAAGATGCCTTTCAAAGAAAGATTTGCTTCCAAAAAATAGTTTTAAGCAACAGTTAACCACAGCTTACTTATCTTGATTTATCTTTGTAGTTTAAAGTTAGACTATACTTAACTTTAATAGCACAATTAATCATTGGCATTTTCTTCTGTATTTTTATTTGATTTGTGCTGTGCATACACAAAGTCCTGTATTCTAGAAGAAAGCAGGGTAGGGACTCCTTGGTCTGTGGTCAGCGTTAGGGAGCTAAAAACTCCAGTTTTTTGGCATCTGTTCACTAAGGAAGAGTGGCTTACACTAGCGGCTTCTCAGCCAAGTCACAGGACAGGAGAGCACAGGGTCATGGTCTGTGCCATTTTTTAAAAGAGCTTTTTTATTTTTTGCCGTATTGGGAATTGAACTTTGAAGGACAAGAGATGGTAGAATTGCTCCTCTGTGATGTGGTAGGCAACTTTCTACTGCTGAACTATATCCTCAAGCCTTTTTTCTTTGAGTCAGCAGCTCACTAAGTTGGCAGACTGGCCTCAATTTGTAACCCTCCTGCCTCAGCCTTCCAGAATGTTGAAACCATAGGCTTGTGCCACCTTATCTGGCTAGCCTGGTGTACTTTTAAAGGGAAATTGAGAAACTAAAAAATGAAAAATGGGGAATGGAAAAGTTCATAACCCCTGGGATTGGGAAAGTTAACTGAGTATTTCCCTAACAGTTGTAAATGGTTCCTTCACTGCTGCGAGAAGTGCATGAACTATAAAATGTTTATACTTTCCAGTGTGTAATTATTTCCTGTGAGTTTCCAATAACAATTGCCAACAGATGGATCTTCCAAAAAAGCCATCTTTATATCATTTTTCAGAAATCCTAGATTGGTCCCGTTGCTTTCAGAATGAAGTTTATTATTATTATTACTGTTATTATTATTTTGCTTTTTGAGACAGGGTCTCACTGGGTAGTTCAGGCTGGTCATGAACTGTGTAGCCCAGGCTGGCCTCGAACTCATGGTGATCCTCCTTTCTCACTCCTGAGTGCTAGGATTACAGGTGTACACCACCACGCCTGGCTTGAAGTTCAAATTCTTACTTGAACACTCAGGGACTCTCACTCAGCGAGTATAAATTGAACAAACAGGTTTTTAAGCGTCGGCTTCCCTGTAGAAATGCTCATAGCTTTAAACTTGATTGAGGCTGTAGAAGCTTATTACTGGGTATCACTGTGACTCTCCGTACATGCGTGTAACGTGCTTTGCATCAACCTCCCGTGCTACTCTTTCTTACTCCTTAGTGCGGCCCTTCCCCTTCTCATGGGCATCCGCTCAAGCACTTTATTGCGTGTAGCCTGAACATGCACTCAAGTAGAATGTCTCCTTGGTCCTCCCTCCTTGGATGTATATGCACAAACGCTGCCATTCCCTTTTACTCTCTCCTGGGATAAGCTGCAACTGAAGTAATAGAAAATTTAGTGGGAAGCTGTGTATTGACTGGGGTAGACTAAGTTATGCTGTAATAAAAAATACCACCAAATCTCTGGTGTAATAGCAGGTATTTTCTTTTTGTTCTTCGGGAAAGCCCCGAGGGTCCAGTAATCTCTCCTCATGTGGTGGCCCAGCATTCCAGGCTGCTTCGGTCTGGACACCACCGTGGCATCACGCGCTTCTCCTGTGGCTGTGGGTGGGCTAGGGACCGCGTGTGTGGTACCCGGGCTCTCGATTACTGCAGCAGACGTGTGTGCAGCCTGACCTCACGGAGGAGGGAGTGTCATCCTCCGGAGTGGGGTGGAGGGCTGGCAGTACTGCTGAGTCTGCTCGTGTCTACCAGGCCCATTTTTGGCTCAGAACAGTGGGCAGGAGTGGTTTCATACTGCGATCTTTTTCACCTTTCAGGGTTTTTGCAGAGGCTCAGCAAGAGCATAAAGTAAACTGAATGTCCTAGGAAGGCCCTGTGGGACTGAAAATGGGGGTAGAGGGTGCCACATTAAAGCAGAGAATACCCGCTTTTCTGATGTCTTGATTTCAAATGCCTTAACTGGTATAACAGCTTTCTAAGAAATTGACAGACTTGAAACTCTGAAACAGACTTCTAGCAGAAAAAAGTCCCATAGTCTTATTACTTTTCTCAGATCTGAGCACCTGGGGCCTTCTAAAAGGACGTCAGCCTTTGAAAAACAGCACTGGTGAATAGGGCGCTCCTGCGATGAAGTTACCTTGGTGTCAGAGGACAGGATGCTGAGTTTCTGTAGCTAGTTCTGGTGGTGTACGTGTCCCTATGACCACTCTCAGGTAACGGTAAAGTGGATTTTATGCACAGACCTATCTCTGGGATCCTAAAGTTTCCAGGTAAAGAAAAGGGTGTGAGAGGATGCTGCCATTACCATCAATGGCCCACAAACACACTGCTAATGTTAGAGCTCAAATTGTTTTGTTTTGTTTTCTGGTACCGGGAATCGAACTCACAACCTTATACTTGCCAGGCAGGCGCTGTGCCGCTGAGCTAAATCCCCAGCCCCTAGAGCTCAAATTGTTGAGCTAACCTGGGAGTTTTATCACAGGAACACAAAAGCTACCTTTTCTACCATTGCTGTCTCTCCTGCTCTTTTGCGTTACAGAAGATTTGAAAAATTGGAAGTCCTGCAGCAGGGCAGAACACATTTTCACTTGAAGAATCCTGGTAACCTGGGGCACCATAAAAACTCATGTTCTCTCAAAAACTTTCAGATATTTACACATGGCCCTAAAAAGACCTTGTATAATGAAAAGTCTAGTATTTTAGTGAACCGCTTTCCAGATCCTACCCAGATATTAGCTTTTAAATACTCAAAAATAGCAAGACAGGGTAGAACAGACATTTAAAGCACTGTTGCACAAAAACTTCAACAGCTGAATCCAAGTGTGTTACAAATGAGTAAGAACTACACTGAAGGGGCGAAAAAGAAAAGAATGTTTAAGTAACTTTGAAAAACAGCGTCTTAATTGAATGTTCTTAGGCTGAAGACAAAAAGAATGGTTTCTGACCTAGTGCTTTTCTTGTTGGGGGGAAGAGCAATTTCTCAAGTTCTTTATGCAGTATAGTAGGATTAAACAGGAAAATATATAGAGTGTGCATACATGTATTTCCTAGCTCTGTTCGGTTACAGGGCCTATGAGCAGTAGAACTGTGGCTGTGATAAGCACGTCTAGCACCCGGACATTAGCTTCTAAACATGATGTCCAATAAAGGAACTAAGGATCCTTGGCCAAGTAATTAGCTCCAGTGCTGGAGAAGGGGAAATGCAGAATGAGCTGGAGCACCCTGTAAAGCCAGAAATGAAGATGTGCTGAAAAAAAATGTCAGAACGCAGGAACCAACCTAGATGAATAAAGCTAGCACAGCTTTAGCAATGACAACACTGGTAGTATTGGATCTTAACTGTTAGAATAAAATATGCATTAGTACATACAGAGATACAGAAAAATTTGAGTGATGAACTGAGACACTCTTTATTACAGAAAAGTTAAAGTTAATGAAAATATAAGAAATAATAGTAGAAAATCACCATTAAACACAGTAATAATTGCAATAAACAAGATCCAGGGATGAGTGCAGATATTTGTGGGCCACATCTGAAAGAACCAAGGTAGTTTTTATAATCTGGAAGCACTTCCTCCAATACTAATTGTACAGAGGAGAGAGATAATTGTAGACACCGCTGTATCCAAGTGATCCAGGTAAATGTTAATGGTGATAAGACGTCCGTGCCGCAAACCTTTATTACACCCTGAAAAGCGTGCTGTCATTTCACTGTCCTGCAGACACTGAGGAATCACGCGTTGGGGATGTAGAGGAGAAATGATTAAAGGAAATGTGGGAAACAGTAAGGTCTGTGAACAGAGGAATACATGAAGGGAACCACTGAAATTAGAATATGTGCTTTTTAATTATTTTTATTCTCTTTAATGGTTTGATCAATCTTGCATTCTTACATCTGGTAGTCTGAGCAACCTCATTGAAGATAACAATATGTAGTATAACAACCACTATTAATTTCTATCATTCTGTTTTGAAACCCTGTATCATTTTTATTGTTTTTGCTTTGTTTTGTTTTTGTCTATGGTGTTATCTTGTCATTTTTTAAAAATTATCTTTAAAAAAAAGAAATTAGAATAAGGTTCAGAATTTAGTTTTTACTAATTCTGGTAATTGTACCATGGTTAGTAATGTGAATATTAATAGAAGGAGGGTAAGGAGTATATGCTGAAATGCAGCAAGGTCTGGAGGTCTGGTAGTAATTGTTACTAATTTTTTTCTTCTAACAGACAGTAGTCTTGATAAACTGTGTTACTTTGAGTGGAGAAAATCTCTTTTTTCTTGACAGTCCCTTTTTTCTTGACAGGTAAATGAGGTGAAGAACGTGAGTAAGAAAATAGTAACCAAAAAATATTTTCATCCAGCCAGAAATTTAATAATTGCTGTTCTCATCAGATTGAAAAAGAAATGACTGGCACATCTGTAATTTATAATTATTTAAAATCTAAAATTTTATATTCAAGGAGTGTATGCTAAATTAGTTTGAAATAGTATTATAAATAAAATGAAATAAGATATATAAGGTAAAAGAGACATATATTCCAGTAGAAAGTAAACTGTTCTTTGGTTCTTTCTTTCGCAATTTCTATAGCAGAGAGACTTTCAAACAGCTGGCTGGATGTTCGTCACATTGAAAAATATGTAGACCAAGGTAAAAGTGGAACGCGAGAATTACTGTGGTCCTGGGCACAGAAAAACAAGACCATCGGTGACCTTCTACAGATTCTTGAGGACATGGGGCATCATCGAGCTATTCATTTAATTACAAAGCACGGTAAACGCATTCTTCAAATACAGCTCTTGATCTCCCAACAACAGTTGTAATTTTTGAATGGAAATAATGCATTTTGCCTAAGACATGGACTCATCCTGTTTTTGTCTCAAGGATTTCTTACCTGTCACCTTCCTCTGCAGAGGACCTTGCAGCTTCACATATGTGTGTGCTCACGCGTGAGTGTGGTGTTTTCTTCCCATGTTGCTTGACTTGTACAATGCATTCTTTATAGTTTTTTTTTTTACTTTTATTTACAAATTACTGGCTTTAAAATGCATGGGGCTGGGGATTTAGCTCAGTGGCATAGTGCCTGCCTGGCAAGTGCAAGGTCATGAGTTCAATTCCTGGTACTGGAAAAAAACAAAAACAACAAAAAAAAGAGAGTAAAATGTATCATTTCTAACAGCTAAGAATCAGCTCCAAAAATTGAAAAGCTCTTTGAATTATAACAATGAAGATCATAATATTTAAGAAAATACAGATGCTACCCTTTGTTTTATTATATAATTAGAATTCAGAAATATAATTGGATTTTCCCCATGTATTTTAGTGCAAATGCTACCTCCACAGTGGACTTGGGTTTTTATTTTACCTTCACTGCTTTTATTGTGCTCCAATCTTAACTTTGTCTTTCTTACCTGTCATTCATTCCATAACACTTCCCTCTTTGTCTGTTTTGATTCTGATAAGTAGAGCCCATTACATTTCCTCATTTTTTCTTTGTTAGCAAAATAGTCCGTTAGCACTATCTGCTCTGTTTCTTCCGCTTGGATTTATTCACTGCAATAGTAATGATCTTGAGTGATCTTGGGCCTTTGTGTTACAGGCTCGGGACTCTTAGGTTGGACACTTTTGAGTCAGTATCTTTATTCTTTGGTCCACTATACCCATATTTTCAGTTTTATATCTTTGAGCACATGTTCTTTGGTAACTTATTAGTGTATAGGAACCTCTCCCTTATTACCCAAAGGAGACACACAAGGATAAATCATGAGTGATATGTACCAGAAAATTACAGCTTCGGAATGAGTTTTATTTTGTAATCTTCATATTAATGGGATATTAGTTCCTCATAAGTTCCCACAATGATATTATCTGTATAACGTGGCTAATCATTCTTATCCTTTTGTCCACGCTTTCTTCACTTGGTTTAGTGCAACAGAATGTGTCGTTCCAAATCTGAGCAAGTGGAATGTAGGGGTCCCTGGGAACTGCAGATGCCATGTCTTTGCATTATCTGAGCATTTTCCAACCACTACAGCCACCCACAAGACTTGCTATTTTCAGTATAAATCTATACCAGTTTCATAGGACACGGGTGTGTTTTATACTTCAGTGTCATGGAGTAGATTTCAGAGTATATTTTCACTCTCTGTGTTGTTTATTTATGCAGCAGAGAATGATTTAACTGTAAGTAGAAGAAATTCCACATTCCTGGTTGACTCTTAGTCTGTTGCAAGGTTGATTTTGCTTTTTAAAATAAGAGATTAGCTGATTAGAGAGGCGATTATTTACTGTTCCAGTATAGGAAGTTAGGTAAATTCAAGATGAACAGGACAATAATACTCAAGTATTTTATTAAAGAAAATACTATTGTTTAATTTATTGAGTTGAAACCCCCTTACCCCCTAGAATTGTGCAGATTGCTAAAAGTGAAATGTGATGATTCATTGGAAATGTGTAGCCTGCCGAACAGGTCAAGTTGTAGCTAGTCCTTGTAGTTACTTCCTGACTTACGAGAACTTCTAATTGAGAAATACCTAAAAAGATTGAGTCATTCTATACTGCTACCATGGACAGATTTGTCAGTTAGGCATATAATAAATGTTTGCCTACCTTTCTTTAATTTTTGTCCTGTTTGGTGGAATGAGCTTTAGAGGAATGCTTGTTCACATTGTAACTTCCAGGTGTCTCCTTCTAGATTTGAGTTGTCTTCCAAGTCTTACTGAGAAGGGCTTTTTGTGTTTCCACCGGGAACTATTCCTGTAATTCAGGGTGCTGCCACTAGGTGGTTTACTCACAGCCAGAAAACATTCCCTTGAAGATCAGGACATAATCAAATTGTTAAAGAAATGAGAATCTTTAGTTACTGTTACCATTTTTCTGTTTTTCTGGCAGTCATGTCCTTACACACCACATATTTCTTTTGTATTTCAATGATCGGGAATTTCCAGTTTGACGTGAAATCTACAGCTTTCTACTGGCTTTTCAGAAGAACCATTTTGAAGCTTTGCTTTTGTGACTTTATTCACAACAAAAGGATGATTGCTTTCAGTGCCTTTACAGCCCCCCAAATTCAAATTTTATTCCATGTGACAATACCCACTTCTGGATGTTATTTCTTTTTCTTGTCTAGTTGTTTTGGCTAGATCTTTTAGTATAATCTTTAGCGGAAAATACTCAGTCTTTTACAACAAGGTATGATGTTAACTGTATGGGTTTTTCATATATGCTTTGTATCAAATAGATAAAATTCCCATCTATTCTAAGGGTTTGTTTCCTGATTTTTATCGTGGTAGAATATTAGGTTTTGCCAAATGCTTTCCCACAATCTCTTGAGATGAACGTACAGTTTTTGTCCTTCATCCTATTAATCTGGTATGTTCCATTGATTTTCAGATGTTAAATAAATTTTATATATGTTGAATAAATCCACCTTGATTATGAAATATACATATTTCTCACTTTGGTTTGCTGTTATTTTGTTGAGGATTTTTACATGTATGTTACTAAGAAATCTTGTTCTGTACTTTCTTTGTAATATATATGCCTGGCATTGGTATCAGAATAATACTGGCCTCACTGAATAATTTGGTTGTTGTTCTGTCCTCTTCTATTTTTAAAGAATTTGTGTAGGGTTTGTGTTAAAGTATAATTGAATTAACCAGTGAAGTTATTTGAGACTGGATTTTTCTTTATGGAAAGTTTATAATACTAATTTAATCTCTGTGTTGTATGTGGATTCAGATTGTTTCTTTCTGAGTTAGTTTCAGTAATTTGTATCATTCTGGGAACTTATCCATGTCACCTAAGTTATCTAATTTTTTGGCATACAGTTGTTCGTAGAATAACTTACAGAAGCTTATAATTCTTGTTGTTTCAGTAAGCATGGTAGTGATGTGTCATTGACTTACTGACTTCTGTCTTCTCTCATTCTTTCTTGGTAAGTCTAGTTAACAAATTCTTTTTTTCCCCTCTTTTTAAAACACCGACTTTGGTTTCACTGATTTTCTCTTTTGTTTTTTATTCTTTATGTTATCTCCACACTGCTCTTTATTATTTCCTTTGTTTTACTCACTTCAGTTTAGTTTGCTTGTCTTTTTCTACGTGCTTCAGGTGAAAATTTAGGTGGTTGATTTAAGATATTTCCCCTTTTCTAAGGTAGGCATTTGCAGTTATAAATTTTCCTGTAAACATTACTCATGCTGCATCATATGGGCTTTGCTTTGCTGGATTTTCATTTTCATTCATCTCAAAGTATTTTCTAATTTATCTTCTGAATTTTTCTTCAATTCTTTAGTTATTTATGAATGTCTTGTTTAATTTCCACATATTTGTGGACTTCCCACATTTTCTTTTGTTGCTAATTTCTACTTCAATTACCTTGTGGTCAGAAAGTATACATTGTGTGCAGTGCATAATGAATGATTATGATTTCAAACCTTCCAAATATATGGAGGCTTATTTTATTATCCAGCGTATGACCTGTTCTGGCTAGTGTCTAGCATATACTTGAGAACCATGTGCATATTCTGCTTTGGATGGAGTATTCTATAGATATCTATAAGGTCTAGTAGTTTTATAGTGTTGTTGAACAAGTTTTGTTATTAGTTGTGTTTGTTGCTAGTTTTCTGAGCAAAATAATTAAACACTACAACATAATCTAAGAAAACTGGAAGGTGAAATAAAAACTTTCTAAAGTCTGAATCAAAATGTTAGAAATGACAGTGAAACATTTTAACCTTTGTAGAAAGCTATATAGATTCCTTTAGTTCATGTAAGACTATAAAAAACAAAATTATAGTCTATATTTGGGTAGTGGCAGTGAGTATTGATAGTTGATAACTCATGCTCACAACCACCTATAATACCTTATGGCATAAAATGATACAAAAATACACTAATACAATATGTTCTAATACATAATATGTAGCAATATATTATTATATATTATAATAATATAACTTCAATATTAAAGTTATAAAAGTATGACTATATTATAGCTTTAAAATTTTTAAATATGTACAAAAAGCTGGTAATAATTTTACATTTTTGCTTTCAATTTTCTAGTTTGTATTTTAATATTTTAATGATGTCTGACAATAATTTAAAGCAATTATTTGTTTTAAGTGAATAAAGTAATATTTTTATAATACTTGATCATTAGAAAACTGTTTCACACGTGTAAACTTGTAAGCATTCCACAGGAATGAAGCTGAGCTGTAGATACGAATATCACTAGCGAGATACTTTCAATTTCAGAAAGAAGAAAAGCACTACAAACAAAAGTGTTTGTGCTAGCTTCTTTTATTTCTCTTTCAGGAACAGGCATGCGTCCTTTGAAGGAGAGTCATCAGGAATGTGGATTTCCGCACATACCAGCCAAGGTAGAGCACGTATGCACAGAAATGACCCTGGGATGCCGTTGCATATATAATTGAAGTTCTCCAGCAGAAAAATACCAGATATGAAGTGATTTTTTAAAAAATGAAAAATGCCCCAGTTATTTAATAGTTCTCTGTTTAGTTGAGGATTCAGACATTTGTAAATGTCTGAAAAGGAAAAGCCTCCCTGTCTCTGCCATCCGTCTGAGCTGGGGTTGAGTACAGTGAAGGGTGCTGTGAGTTACACATTTGTCTTAACTCAGCCTTTTCCTTTTTCTAGTTGGTGTTTTGCATGTTGTTATTTTTCATTATAGCAAATTAGCAGAGATTTTTATGGCATTAGAACTCATTTAAAATAGACTCTGGCATTGATACTTCAATGTTTACAGTATGTATGGAGGCCTTAGCAGTGTCCGGCAGGGCAGTGAATACTGTTGAGTAAAGTGAGATGGCAGCTTCACACCAGCTTTCGTCCACGTTAAACCCTGCTCTAGTGTACTCCGCAGTCTCCAGGGGAGCTTTAGATTTCTGTAGGGGCTCTGGTGTTTTTTCTCAAATTATGAAACGCAACTACCTTAGTATGTATTTTTTTCTTTTAGAAAACAGCCAATGTCACAGTGAATAATGTTCCTACTCCTGAACATAATGAAAAAGGTAAACAAACAAAACAAATCAACTTTTTCTTTAAGTCATGTAAGTGAATTGAGATAAGAGCATACCCAGTAAACACTGTAACCATTTATATCCAGATTCAGTATAAACCTCCGTAGATTTCACAGATATTTTGAATTTTGGTTGTCATGTGTAGTTCTGATGGATGAGACTTAAGAATCCGTTGGCGAATGAAGAACATAATTGCTGTCTCTTCTCCCAGAGGGACTTTGTTAGTGAAGATTTCCACTTCAAGTGTCACAAGAAAACATTTGAACACTCATGTCCTTTTATATAGTTTTAGAAATTTCATAGCAGTTGCAAAGATCTTTGAGATGATTATAGAGCAATGCGGAGGGTCCATATGAAAATTGAGTTTTCACATTAACTTTCCTACTTTATTAGTAGAGAGAATAATTTAGTCCCACCTGGGAATCATTCTGACAACGTTTTGTTTAGGGCTGCCTTGCCTTATCTTTTTCACTAGATCTGGTGTTACTCTTGTTGAAAAGAGAATTAAGAAGGTTAGATAAGGTTTCCATCCTTTAGCAGTCAGATCTAAGTCAAATTATAAGTGTCTTTAGAGAGTATTCTCTGTTAGCTGTAGGAATACAGCCCAGGTTTGGCTTTGATAGATTTAGCCAAGCATTTTTAAAGAAATTTGTATTAGATTATTTTAAATGTTTTTTTCCCAGTCTCCCTTTGGATGATTTTTTCTTTTTCTTTTTTTGTCTTTTTGAGACAGGGTCTCGCTGTGCAGTTCAGGCTGGCCTTAAGCTCATTTTGTAGTACAGGCTGGTCTGAAACTCACAGTGATCCTCCTGCCTCAGCCTCCCCAGTGCTGGGATCACAGGCATGTGCCATCACACCCGGCCTTGGATGATTTTTTTAAAAAGGAAATTATCTTCCTAATTTACTCTGAAAGTAAATTATGCCGTTAGAGAGGTTTTAGCTCATGAAAACTATTTCTGTTAGTCATGCTTGGAGATTATTATTTGAGGATATCAAGAGATACACTTCTGGGTTTTATTTTAGTGGTTTTAGGTTCCTAAAGGGTCAGTAGCACTAGTGTCAAGGAAACAGCACATTGGAATGGTTTCCCCAAGCAAGCACTTCAGCTGCTCTGTGCGGAGAGGTGATAAAATCACAGCAGTCCTCGTCCAGATTCCTAAAAAGCCGGTTATTTGCTCTGTGGGGTAACGAGAACCAGCCCCAGTGAATGAGCAGAGAGCACGTGCCGGGCTTCAGCTCGGGTTCGTGGCCTTTTCACTGCTGACTTTCCCCTGGGCCCTGATGCACTCCCTTGGGGACGTCCTGCTTGTCCAGTGACGTTGGTGCTTGAGAAGAGAAAGAAAGGTGCTCATCTTCTTCCTGTTTTTCCTCTCTAAGGAATATTGCTGAAGTCCCCCATCAGCTTTCAGCACATCGTAGAAGGAACCAGAAATTTCCACAGAGACTTCCTAATTGGCGAAGGGGAGATTTTCGAGGTATACAAGGTGGAGATTCGAAACCGAACATATGCCATTAAATTATTGAAACAGGTATGAAAAGAATTACTATCACAGGCTAGCTATTCCATTTGCTTGCTCATATTGCACGTTAAAATGCTATTTTAGTATGGAAAGTTTTAATATGAAAACACTGAAAGTATATATATTTGAAAATAAAGTTTCCTAAACAAAACTAAAATACCTGACTAGAGAACTGACTGAGAAATGAATGTCCGTCTTGTAAGAATATGGAAATTAAATCCTTCCCGTGCTGAGATATATTGCATGAAAAAGAATTCTGTGAAAAGCTGTTTAGGGCCTCAGGGACTTTGCCCCGAGGACTAGGCTGTGCTAGTCTTCTTTGGGGAGCACTGTCCTCTAGGCGTCTTCAGTGCTGCTTCATAAGTTGTCTTCCATCACCATTCCGGGGGTGGGAGAGAGGAGGCTTCCAGTAGGGGCAGCAAGCTTACTGCAGAGCAGGTGGAGGTTGCAGGATAGGTAAAGTACTATAGCCAGGAGAGCAGAGAGGGAATTAGCAAATCAAACCTCAGGGTCTGTAAGAGATAGGTACCTGCACAGACACACCGAAGAGCTGTCCTTCGTGTTCTTCGCTGTTAGTCTGCAGTCCTCAAACGGTTAGCCAGCTCCTGTGAACTTGGCGCTGTGCATACAGAGATGAAAAGGGCTCCTTCTGGCCTTGTGGTGCTCACAGTCTTTCACAGGCAGTGGCAAATTTAAGAAAGGATTAAACTGCTGAAGAGAAGTACTTTAGCAGAGATTTGTACAAAAGGGCCTGGGAGTGCATAAAAGGTAGTATTTCTACCCCCGGAGGAGGGATGCATCTAACACCTCAAAGAATATCTAGGGTAAAAAAAAAAAAAAGAAAGGGCTGGGGATATAGCTCAGTGGCATAAGTGCCTGCCTGGCAAGCGCAAGGTCGTGAGTTCGATCCCCAGTACCGCAAAAAAAAAAAAAAAAAGAATATCTAGGGTAGAGTAACTGCTCAATAGGCATGTTAAAAAAAAACGAAAATGGATTAAAAAATGTGAGCTTTTATGTGGATTTCGAAGGACGGGTAGAATTTTAGAAGAGAGTAAAGGAGGGGAAGTGCAGGTGGAACAAGTAGGCGGCCCAGGGGCCTGGAGGTGCAAGTGTGCACGCACACGTCTTCCTCGTGCGTGTCAGTTCATTTCGGTGTCTCAAAAGGTGACACTGAGAAGATACGAGGTGTGATCGCAGAATCCGGTGAGCAGGTGGGCCTGTCTTAACAAGAGTTGTTACAGGAGAGGACACATTACCGTGAGTTCTCATCAAAGTGCTCCTCCTCCTTGTCACTCGCAGACGCAGTTCTGGAGGGTCTTTCCTGAGTGTCTTTAGTTGTACTGTCACCGCTGCCTCAGGGTGCTGAACTGATGCAGGACAGTTGCCTCTCGCGGTCATTTTGACTCTGGGGCCAAGCAGAAGCCACGCAGTGCCAGTCCTGCTGGGCAAGGTGGGCGAGTGCCCTGCTGTGTTTCTGTTAAGCTGTCCTTCCGTTGGGGTGTCGCCTCACAGCAGCAGTCACGGCGTTTCCGGTCACATCTCCTGAACGCACTCGAGAGGACTTGCAGCATTGCCTCAGACGTGACAGAAACGATGGGATGAGTGCGTCTGAAGTGAGGGAGAGTATTTTGAGGGGGGTTAGTGGCCATCTGTCTTCCACTATAATAATTTTTAAAAATTTAAATATATACCATATATTTGGTCACCTCCTGTAGGTTACACCTGTGGATGGTTTTTAAGTAGGAGAACGAGTGGCTTACGTTTGTGTTTTTAAATAACACTTCATTTAAAAGGTAGGTGATGAGATTGGAATTTGACAAGGGAGTTGAAGGAAGATGACAAGAATTGACTGGAGAAGGAAAGACCTAGTGGAGGGATATTTAGATGTGCAAACTAAGATATGGACAGGGCCTGACTGGAACTGCATATCAGAATTACCTGGATGGCTAAGTACCTCTGCTGTGGGCCAGAGCAAAGCCAGTGCCGAAGGTGAGAGGGTGCGTCTCAGATAGGAGGTGAAATGGACCAAGTCCAGTGAGTCCTTGCTTACGGCCGGGACACAGGGGAGGAGGGATCTAAAGTGATCTCTGGTTTTCAGCTTACCGTGTATTATGGGGCCTTCAAAAATTATTTATCTGATTTCTTCCTTTTCTAAAATTTTAATTTGTACCACTTATTCTGTAGAGCGTTGTTCTGAGAAAATGAGCAGTAGGATAAGAAAAATCTACTCATAAAACCATTTAACAAATAGAAGTTGTTCTCTAGAGGTGCCTAACTAAAGTCCATTTCTTGGTGCCAATTATGGCCCCATTTTTATAATATCTTTTGGCTGAACCTGAGCTCCACCATCCAAAGGGTCTCTTTGCAGCTGCTACCAGGTCACATTCCCTTTTGGGAGTTTTTTTTTTTTTTTTTTTTTTTTCCTATTAGTCTGATTTTCGAATGGGATTTCATTGCCCTTACATGCCCTTCTCTTCTTGCTTTCCAGATGAGGGTTTTTAACCCCTCCAGTGTGGTTGGGATGACCATCCCACAGCGTTATTTTATTATTGCATAGTGTTGCTTTCTTCATCTGCTTCTCCCAGTGAATTAACTGGCTCTCTCTGAATAATTCTTGCTTTGGTATCTCTCTATCTTGTCCTATTATAGAGCCTATCCTGGTTTTTTGGCTTAATTGAATTATTTATGGAACTGGGGACGGAACTCAGGGCCTCACACATGCTAGCCAAGTCCCCTAATGCTGAGGAACATCCCCAGCCCTTTTTATTTTTTGTTTTATTTTCTTTTGAGACAAGGTCTCACTAAATTGCTGAGGCTGGGTTTGAACTTGGGATCCTCCTGCCCTGACTTCCTGAGTAGTAGGATTACAGGCCTGCGCACCCTGCATCTGTGAAAAAGTGTTTGTTGGATGAACTGAATGAAGTACAAGTCCCTTTCCAAGAACTTAGTTGCTAACTACTAAGAGTAAAGTGACCCGATGACTGCAGAGGACTGAACAAAGTCCCACTGTGTGTGGTCCTACCTACCTACGTTTTAGCTCTCTTTTAAGGTGGTGAATGTAAGTATGATTAGACTTTGCCTCTGCTTTTCTCTCCATCCCACTTACCAACATAGCCGACAGCCAGAGACGGACGGAGACACACACACACACACACACACACACACACACACACTCATACACTCACAGATATTTATCAGGAGACATATGACCACTTAGTGAAGCCTTAATCACAGCACATTTTTAAAAGACATTTAATTCTCTAACATTGAGGCATTACCTTCAGTTACTCGAAGTTAGGAAGTGAGGAACTGTATTACACATGTCAGATCTGTGCTTCTCAAAATGTAACGTTTACCCTGTCACCCGGGAACCTTGTGATGCTGAGTCTGGTTCAGCAGATCTGGGCACTGGCCCAGCGTTCAGAGCACTTCTCACCAGCTCCCAGTGTAGCTATTTTTTGGGGGGAGGAGTGCGTACAACCACACTGTCAGTGACAAGGTGTTAGAGTGCGAGGTGAGCAGAAACACGAAAAGTAACACCTTCATTTTTCAGATTGAGAAAATTAAAACTTCAGAGAAACTAAGGGGCTGGTGAAAAGTGACAGCAGAGACCTAATCTACCTGGTCTAGGACAGTACCCGTGTAATACGCACCTTTTGCTAAAGTGGACATGATTCATTGGCCCAGAGGACTGTTTCTGATGTAGCTTGGAAAGTAACTTCAAGAATTCCTGCTGGATTTCTCTCTGTTTCTGAGGACAGAGCTCTAAAAATTCTTCCCTTTCCAACAGTTTGTAACTGAGCACCACTCAACTGACAGGACCTAGGAGCAAACTTTCTTAAAAATTTTTTACGCTTGATTCTTTCTCTCTTATTTTTATTTTAAAGATAAAACTTAATTTAACTCTTTCATGGTAGAATTTAGGAACTTGAGATCTAAGGCCGCGCAATGATATGACGTGTTTGAAGGCATCAAGAATGTGCCCAGTACAAGCTCAGGGCTAGGAGCAGTGCTATTAGTAAACTTACGGGGTGCTCAGTGTTCATGTGTCAAGCTTTGGTTACCCTTTGAAGCTGCTTTGTGGTAAGAAGTTAGACTTTCACTTTGGTAGTGGGCTTATCTTTTCAAAACTAATGCATGGTATGCCTGAAACAGCATATCAAAATGAGCCAACCCACAAATGCCAAAATAGTAAACTTCTGCAGGACAGTGCAGGTTGCATAAATTGTTTTCTTTGTGAGATCAAGGGAAGAGTACCTAACTCTCATGAGAAAAAAATATATGTAATTTTTAATTTTGTATGTGTGAAAAAATACGGTTTAAGTTTAAACATAAAGTTTGGCAACGTGGTATATTACATGAAAAACTTTTAATTCAAGAGCAGTAGTTCTAAATCTCTTTGAGGTTAATGGGTTTTTGAAAATCTGTTGAAAATGAAGGATTCTCCAGAAAAATTTACAAATGCATTTATGCTTACAAAAATGCAATTTTTTATCTTTTCTATATTTAGGATAAAAAAATGCAGTATAAGAAACATTTGAAGAAATTTTTATCTGAGATTGAAGTTTTACTACTGTGAGTATGTTTTATCTGTAATTTCTCCCCTTTTTTGCCTGGGTTTCATGTCTGTTTATCTTTGATTTTACAGCACAGTGCTTGGCTTGGTTGGCATTTAATTAACGTGGTTTGGATGTTGGAACACTGGGTAAATTTTTGACATCTGCTTCCATATATTTCTTAAACTACATCAAAAACACACCATTTCCATAGTTCACTTGAATGTATTTTAACAAGGAACTGTCACAAGGAAGTGGGTTAAATTGTGTGTGACTAACATGGTTGAATAATAATCCCCAGAACATTAGAGTTGTATATATTTCCATTTTCCCCCTTCCTCAGAGACACTACAATCTAGAAACCACTTCATCAGGATAAGTCTCTTCGGGAAGAGTTTTAGAGAAAGAAATGAAGTGCTTTTGATATGCATATTATTTTCTGTAAATTCATTCATAAATCTGAGAGTCCTTGGGGACAAACTTGAGTGACTTCATTTTCACATATATTTATACCTGCAGCTGTGCAGCCTGCTTCGTTGGAGACCCCTGGCCCCTACTGTTTATTCATCACATTTCATGCAGAGCAAATGTTCCTTTCAGATGTTTTCTAAACAGACACGTAAATTAGCGGTGCAGGGAGGGTGAGGAGAGAAGGCATTGCACTGAACCGGCGCCCCTCTGTACTGAGGGCCAGAAGTGAAAATGCTAGCGGTTGGTCATAAAAATCAGTGCCTGTTAGTCGCTAAAATTGAATCTAAAATTTAATAGTAGGTTTTTGCATTTAGGTTTTATTTATTTGCCTATGAAAGTACAATTCAGACTTTTCAAAATTCCAAAGGTACAAAAAACATAAACCATAGGAAGATTTTTCTCATACTTCCCAGCTGAACATTATTAATTTCTTGTGTATATATACTCAGATATTTTCTACATAGACAAACACGTATTTTATCTTCACTTTCATCCCTTTACACAGAAGGTAGCATTACCACATTGCTTGCTTTGCTCATTTGTGTATCCTGTTCTGTGCTGTATTGTACCTCTCTCAGTTGAGGGATTTTTAGGGGTTTCTTTCCTAATGTTTTATTATTAAAAAATAATTCTGTAACAAGAAACCTATGTTTTTGCTATTACATAAAAACATTGTTCTCAGGACCAATGAAAAGGAGGTATTTTTCCTGTTGTTTTCTCCTAAGAGCTTTACAGTTTCAGATCTTACATTTAAATCTGTAATATAATTATGAATGGGTTTGTTTTTTTTTTGTGGTGTGGTGCCAGATGAATTTACTCTTTAGTTTTTTTGGTACCAGGAATCGAACTCGGGACCTCACACTTGCCAGGCAGGCACTGTGCCGTGAACTATAAATCCTTGGCCCCAAATTCACTTCTCTTTGAATGTGGATATCCAGCTTTCCTAATACTGTTTATTGAAGAGACTGTTCTCTCCCTCTTATGTTTTTGGTATCCTTGTCAGATTAATTAAATGTGCTGCAGCTGTGCAGCCTTCCTCATTGGAGGCCTCTAACCCTATAGAGTTTGTCACCTTTACAACTAGAAAATGTTCTTTTCTGATGCGTTCTGAACAGATACGTGAAGTAGTAGTGCATGTGTACGGGGGATGTTTCTGGACTCTGTTCTGTCCCATTGCTCCCTGTGTGTTTCTGTGCCAGCACGTGCTCTGTTGGTTGCTAACCCTTGTGATGCAGGTTAGAATCGGGAAGTGAGCGCCTGCAGCCTTCCTCTTTCTCACCATTACTTTTCACTCTGTTCCTTCACTGTGCATCTTAGGAGTCCTTTCTGTTCCTCTGAAAAGTGCACTGGGATTTCAGTGCGGTACCTTGGATCTGTAGATCATTCTGAGTAGTAGGAACATTTTATAGTATTCTTCCAATTCGTGCATTCTATATTATCCCAATTCCAGTCAATGAATATTTTCTTCTTACTGTGTCTTTGATTTCTTTCATCAGTGTCCTACAGTTTTCTGTGTGCAGATTTTCCATCTCCTTGGTTATATTTATTCCAAAGTATTTTTGGTGATGTTGGATATGGAATTATTACTTTTCTCAGATAGTTCATTTTAATGTATAGAAGCATAACTTTTATATGTTAATTTTGTATTGAGCAAATTTAGTGAATTAATTTATTCTAACTTTTTTTGGTGAGTCATTTTCTATACATATGTGTAAAATTATACCATTTACAAACAGAGCCAATTTAACTTCCTTCTTTCCAATTTGGATTCTGTCTCTCTCTTCTCTGTCGCTCTCACTCACTTGCTTTGGCTAAGACTCCCAGCACTATGTCAAGCAGAGGTGGCGAGAATGAACATCCATGCATTACTTCTGATTTTAGAGGAAAAACTTGCAGCTTTTCAGCACTGACTGTGGTATAGGTGTGGCCTTGTTAAGTGTAGCCTTACTGTGTTGAGGTACGTTCTTTCTATCTTTAATTTATTGAGACTTTGTATCCTGAAGGAGTGTTGCATTTTGTCAGATGCTTTTTCTGCACCCACGGACATCACGTGATCTTCGTCTTTCAGTCTGTCAATGTGGTATACAGGTTGAGCACAGCTGCACCGCACAGGTAAATCCTGTTTGGTCGCGGTGTCTGATACTTCCAGCATTCTGTTGGATTTGGTTGCTGCCATTGGTTGAGTTTTGCAAGGATCTTGACCTGTAATTTTCCGTGCTGATAGTGTCCTTTTCTGTCTTTGGTATAAGGCAATGGGAGTCTAGCAAAGTGGTTTTGGAAGTGTTCTCTCTATCCCAGTTTTTTGAAAGAATATAAGGATTGGCGTCAGTTCTTCAAATGCTTGCTAGAATTCATCTGTGAAGCCGTATGTACTAGGCTGTCATGTTTGGGAAGATCTTAATTACTGAATCAGTCTTCATTGTATTTTTCTGTTACGAAATGAAATACTTTTTACTAGGCTATCGTTTTGTCTTAGTTTATTCTAGTGTTTGCCCTGTGGAAGTTATTTTAATGTACTTGAATTATCTATCTCTTTTTTTGTAGATTTTGTGTTATATTTTAAAAGTTCTTCCCTACCAAGAAGTTGTAAAATAATTCTCCATTGTTTCTAATGCTTTTAGTTTTTTCTCTAGAACATTTAGCTTTATTTTTATATGTAAATGTCTGTTTTGTTTGGTTTATTTGATGAGCTCGTTTCCGTATGAACTACAACTATTTCTCTATGTTCCTTTATGAACAGCCTGTTGGTATTTTTACTGGGATGGTATCAGCTTTACAGATTACTCTAGGAGGAGTAACTTCATGGCGTTTACTATTCCTGGGCTATCTTGATGAATACTGTTTTTCTATTTGATCAATAATGTTTAAAAATAAGCAAATGGTCATTTCTTCTCTGTGGGCGAGGAAGCAGAATGGCCAAGCCTAACTGTGTCTGCATGATATCTGTCATCTACTTTCTTCCAAAGATTTTTCTCTCTCTGAATTATTTTAGGTTGCAGGAGAATTAGCCAGTCAGTGGTACAGATCAACTGCTTAACTAGCTAAATATATCGCTACAATTTCTTTTCAGTTCACTGCTTTTCCCTTTATAGATAGAATTTTAATCACAGTAGGTGTAGGGATCCTGTATAACAGAGGTTTTTGGCAATTTTAAGGGTAAACATCTCTTCATGTGTTTGTATATGTACATGTGTGTATGTATATACACAGAGAAACACACCCTTACTTGGGTAAGAAGGATAAAAAGAATCAGAAGCCATGTACATGCATGCGTGTGCGGGCACACATACACATAGATACATATCATGCATATATGTACATGAGAGTGCGTGTGTGTGTGTTTATAGGAAAGTCTTGCTATTAAAAGAAGCGTAACCCTCCATACTTCTGTGTTAGGGTGACTTCACCCAAACTTGTATACTTAAATCAGTCAGCTGAACAATTCAGTTGTGTTATCTTTATTTAATAAATAAGTCATATTGCATTCACATGAATACAATAAGTTAATATTGAATATTGTTATTTATTTTTATAAAGTTTCCAATATTCCAGATCTTAGGAATTCTTTGCTTTAATTTTTGTCTTATATGATATTTTTACTCAGAGTCATTCAAAAAAGTTCTGCTACCTCCTAGAACCCTTTGGACCATTGAGGAAGGCAAATCACACGTCTGTGAAATTACTGCCCCTTTGCCGAATTTACCTGCTTTCGACTGGCTCCCTGTCTTGCTGTATTGTCCCCCGAACCACAGTGTTTTCCGTGTGAACAACCCTCTGATGTCCTTAACAACCTTTTGTTTTAAGGTTTCACCATCCCAACATCCTGGAGTTGGCGGCATATTTTACAGAGGCTGAGAAGCTCTGTCTGGTTTATCCGTATATGAGAAACGGAACACTGTTGGACAGACTACAGTGTGTCGTAAGTTGTATTTATCATTCTGCTTCATCCTCCCAGCCTTTGGAGCCTGGGGCTTGGGGAGCCACTGCACCTGTCCAGGGAGCCAAGAAGCCAAGCTGTGTGAACGTGAAAGCATAGCAAGAATAGGTTTCTAAAGTAGAGGGGGCAGCCGGGCGTGGTGGCCCACACCTGTAATCCCAGCACTCGGGAGGCTGAGGCAGGAAGATCGTTGCGAGTTTGAGACTAGCCTGGGTTGCAAAGTGAGTTCAAGGCAGCCTGAACTGCATAGTGAAACCCTGTCTACAAAAAGACAAAACAAAAAGTAGTAGAGGGGGCTTCCCTGTGAATTAGTGTCTTACTCCTAGAAGCCTTTTATAAGTTCCCGATTACTGGGTTCTTGTTGCCGAAGGAGTTACTGGGTCCTTGTTGTTTACTGATTCTCTACCTCGAGTGAGTTTATATCAACTACCCTTATTTCTCTGATAATTTTAATTTGCATAACTTTATGCAAAGTGTCATTCAATGTAAGGGATGTGCATAAAAGTGGTGCGAATCCCTGAAAGAGAAAGAGGTGGAATAAGTCCTATGAGCTCTCCCAGACGTTTTTGAAGGATTGATTGAAAACCAGATTCCAAAAAAGTTGTTTTCACTACAATGAGAATAAAAGCAGATTATTCTCAATTACGCACACTATTGTGCCACAAGTGATTGAAGTGTCTTACTTAATGAACTGTTAAACAGTGTCACCTTCCCACGTGTTTTTTGTTGTGGGTTTTGTTTCGTGGCCCTGGCGATCAAACCCAGGGGCACGCTACAACTGAGCTTTCACTCAGCACTTCTTTTTTTGAGACAGGAGCTTGCCAGTTGCTCGGGCTGGCCTCAAACCTGGAATCCTCTTGCCTCAGTCTCTCCTTTTTTTTTTCTTTTTTTTTTGTGGTCTCAGGTTTTGGTAGGCTAGATAAGTACTCTCCTACTGAGCTATCAGCCCACTAGTCATTTTGATTAAATTAATACTGAAAACTGTTAGGTATTTCTATCACCTATAAAGAGTTCTAGAACCATCACCAGCAGCAGAGGGAAATCCACCTGAAATTTAAAATGGGTTGGAGCAAACCAAAAAGTGCTGGTTCACCTCCCTGGGCTGCCTTGCCCTCTGCTTCCCTTCCGGCCTCCGCGCAGTGAGCAGAGGTGGTTGTACCAGGAGGGGCAGCCGCGCCAATGGCTGTTTTCTTTCCAGGGCGGCACGGCCCCCCTCTCGTGGCATGCTCGAGTCGGTGTGTTGATCGGTGTATCCAGAGCCGTGCAGTACCTGCACAGCACGCAGCCGTGCTCTGTCGTCTGCGGCAGCATATGCAGGTAAGGACCCCAGGACCTTAGGTCACATCCGAGAGCCCCTCTCACCTCGTGGTGAGTCCTGTTTCATGCTCTTTGCTTTCTAGGTGTGTATATATGAGGGTAGTAAGAATTCTCACCTAGACAGTAAAGTTCTTAGAATTTTTACTAATGAAAGTGTGTGCCAGGTTAAAAAGCTACATTTACATTGCCCAAGGAAAGTTTATGTTATTTGGGGGGATTTGTGAATAATTCTGTATTGACTACACCTGATAAATGAATGCAAAATGAACCTGTATTTGCACACACACACTTCCCTCCAGTTTTTAAAACTGTGGTTTAACGAAAAGTTAAGCAGCTTCCGTAGGGATTCCTCGTCAGAGGACAGCAGTGAAGAGCAGTTGAAATTCCTGGTCCTTGAATCTCTAGTGTCTTCATCTCATTGCGCCGCCGCCTTGTAACTTTATATATTAGTTTGTGGCTACACAGAGTCTTCCAAGCATAGCCCTCGTGTTCAGTTTCTGAAATGTGAGCAGATTAGAGGCAGTGTCTGCTGATTTCCTGCGTCAGCAGTCAGAAGGACGCCTCCGGAGGGAGCAGACACACCAGTCAGACCACCGTGGGGAGCTGCTCTCTTGCGTGCCCTTCATCTTGAGCCTGTCCAAAGGTGCACCGTCACGCCTTTGCTGAGTGTCAGCGGAGACTGAATTCAGGTTTCTGCTTCTTCTGAACAGTGTTTTAGTATTTTTGAAGAGCTTTTTTGTGCTTCTGACCTAACAGAAGAGGAGCTGCTGGCTTACTTGTTTTTCTGGGGAAATGAATGTCATATGAGAAGACTCGAGGCCTTTGCTCAGTCGTGGGTAGTAGGGCCAGCACCCTGGAGATGCTCGCTTCTGGTGCAGTGTGCAGATTCACCAGCACTGTGAGCTTCCTGGCATCAGCATGGAGTCGAGTCCTCATTGTGGAACCTGAATGTAGAGGGACCGTGAGCCCTCAGGGAGCGTCACCCCCTGGGGCAGCTTCCCGAAGGTGGGGCGGCCCCCGCCCAACCTGAGGTCGCCCCTCTTCCACCCAAGTTGCAGTAGGTGCTTCAGGGTGTATTTTGCTCAGTGAACACGTGTCTGCAGTTTTATTGTATGTATTCTTCCTTTGGTTTAAAGTAAGTATTAGTTTATTTTAAATCCCATATGTGTAATACTGTATATTAATTTTGTTGTTTGCTTCACTGTGGCTGAGGTCTTCAGATCCGTTCCTGAGAGTCTGAAGGACAGAAGAGAGAGAAGGAAGAGGATGTTAGGTTCTGGCTCTTGCTGGGAGCGAGGGACAAGGAGAGCTACACACTGGAGCAAAGGGGACCTCAAGGTAGAGAGGGAGAAGGCGGGGCGTGGTGGTGCACACCTGTAGTCCCAGCACTCGGGAGCCTGAGGCAGGAGGATCGCTGTGAGTTTGAGGCCAGTCTGGGCTACAAAGTGAGTTTAAGGCCAACCTGAACTGCATAGCCTGACCCAGTCTCAAAAAATCAAAACCAAAAAAAGGTAGAGAGGGAGCAGATGTAGGCTCTGCCCACTTCTCAGTGCTTCACGTGGCTCTTGCCGGAGAGGGGGTTGGGATGTGACCCCCAGCGCCTCTCTTGCTGCTGGTGACCGTCCACGCTGTGGGCCTTGATTCCCACTTTCTCGCTTTCGGCTGTGGTCTTCAGGCCGGTGCCCAGGAGACGGGCTCAGAGGCAGAGGTCTGTCTGTGGGAGATTTTTAGGGAGAGCTCCCAGGAGCAGCAAATGCAGGAGAGGGGAGCAAGAGGGCAGAGCTGGGCCGATGGAGGGGGTAGGCCAGATGCCGTCATTCCTGAGGTCTCAGCCAGTACAGCAGGGAGACGGTGAAGCTGGGCCCGCCCTTCAGAGACATCTCAGAGACAGGCAGGGCGACCGGGCCTTTGCATCCTGCATCTGACCCCTCCTCAGGGGGTGCCGGGACGTGGGTGAAGCAGCTCCTCCTACGCTGGGCAGTTCTCAGATTGGAGCTCTGTTGCGAGCACCCCTCAGCCACCCCTCCCTGCTGGGAACCAGGAGCTTCCCAGGGCCTGTCCAGGAACTGGCCACACAGCACCATGGAGATGGAGGAGGATTGGGCCAGATAAGGTGCTAAAGAATGAGACCCAGGGAATTTCTACTCCCACTTCTTCCCCTCCCCCACTCCTCCTTTTCTTTTGTCTTCTCCTTCTTCTTTGTCTTCTTCTTCTTCATATTCTTGTCTTCTTTCTGAGACAGGGTCTTGCTATGTAATTCAGCCTGGCCTTGAACTCACCGTGTAGCCCAGGGTGGCCTTGAACTTGCAGTAATCCTCCTGCCTCAGCCTCCCAAGTGCTGGGATTACAGGCGTGCACTATCACACCCAGCTTAACCCCTGCATCTTATCTCAGTATCCCCTAACGTGTAATTCAGAGAGACTGATTTAAGAAGCAGACCTAACACTGAAAATGTGATTCTGAGCACATTACACGACTTCTCTAAGCCTGCTTTTCCCTCTGCAGGATGCTGCTAATAGAGTAATAGCGTCTGTCCCTTAGCACTAAATGGCATAAAGTACATAGGGAGGCGTGGCAGCGTCAGAGGCTGAGTGAGGCGCGGGCGGTCAGTCCTTCTGCCTGTTACTCTTCTGCTTACCTCCGCTGTCGGTTCAGGGTGTTGGACAAGTGGACTCACAGACTGAGTCCTATTTTAGAAGTAATACTTTTGTCGTAATACGTGTTGGTTCAAAGTCTTGAGTCACATTCATTTTCACTCAGACCTCTGCATGCGGACCACAGTGGAGAAGGCACTGATGATGGTATTCTTGTCCTTGAAGGTTCAGCTGACTCAAGAGCTAACACAAACGTGGCACATTGGTAACATTAAATCTGCCCACTGTGTGGTTGGTCATAGACGGCCTCCTGTCGTAAGAGCTCCAGACGGGTCTGGGAGGAAGTAGGTCACGGCCACGGACTGACTGAAGGAAGGGAGCGAGGCTTCCGGGTGGAGTGAGTTCATCCAGGGAAGCAGGGTCCAGGTTTGCCAAGTGTGTAACGAAAGCAAGAAAGACAAGCTTTCTGGAGAAGGACAAGCTTGGAGAATAGAGCAAGATGAGACAGAAGGATGGGGAATGTGGTGGGTGGGGTAGGGCTTCTGTGGGGCGGGGGACCTGCATTGGATAAGCTGAGCTGCAGTGGTGATGGGTTGAGGCCTGTGTGCGGTAAAGGTGGGAGCAGAAAGGTTCTGGAGTCTCTCAGATGGAGTCTCACTATTGAAAAGGAAGCCAGTGTCCCAGGTACTTACCCAGCCATGCTAAACTAAAACGTCGTTTATGTAACGCTGCTAGACACAGCTGTGTAACAGCCATGCAGAGCGCCAGAGCAATCTGATCAGAGATGAGGGAACATTCTGGAGGAGGCGGGACTTGAACTGGAAAGGTCGTTGGCAGCGTGTGTTACTGTTTTAGTCAGTAGAGGCCGCTGATGACTGCTGCCCTGCTGGGTGTTTCGCTTTGATCTTGAATATCCCCCGCATGCTCGTGCTGAAGTCTGAATCACTAACACCAGGGCTCTGGGAGATGCTGGGAACTGTGGGACGTTAGGTCACTGGGGTCACGCCACTGAGGGAGACACAGCACCCCAGCCCCTTTCTTGTCACACTCTCTTTGCCTCCCGGCCATGGTGAGGTGAACAGACCCTGTCGGTCACATGCTTCTGCCATGATGTGGATGCTGCCATAGGCCTAGAGCAACAGGGCCAAGCAAGCATGCACTAAAGCCTTTGACCCTGAGAGAAAATAAATCTTTTCTCCTTGTGTGTTGTTTATCTCAGGTATTTTGTCACAATAACGGAAAGCTAACACATTGGGCTCTCCACAGAGTGCAGAGATTCTGAAGTAGCCTCTATCCATGACACCCATGTGGACCTGTGTCAGGGCGTGCAGCTCCAGAGCTGCGGACAGCTGCTGGAGCATGAAGGCTTTGCAAGGGCTCCCCGGGGAGCCCCTGACGGTTGCAGAGCAGGTCAGCTGCGTCTGCAGCCCTTGCACTCGCAGCCCTCCTGCTGAGCTCCAGCAAAGGTGCTGATTAGTACCAACTCCAACCATAGGTGTCCCGGTCTTGTTAGTGACTTACCTGTTCTCTAGGACCTGCAGTGAGCCGCTCAGTTCATCCAGGCACGTGGACATTGGTCAGCGGGCGGTGACGCTCAGGCCCAGCACCCTCGCCAGCGTAAGTCAGCTGGTCTAGGCTGCCCTCCCGCACTTCTTGCAGCGAGTCCTTCTCTGTGCTCTGAACCTGGGCCCCGTGATTCTTGGCCTCTGGGCGTACCGTCCAGTTCTTCTAGGAGGGCCCCAGGACCCTGCCCCTTCTGCTTTTGTTGCATACTTTTTAAGTCCTTATGAGAAAAGACAGCTTCTAGTGCCTTTGTATTGTACAGCCCTGAAAATTGGATCAGAAAAGGACACCTCAGAATCTGGTCAGATAGTCACCTTTTCTGTAAGTCAGTCAAAGCTCTTCTTCCCTGGAGGAAGGAAAAATGGAAGCTTCTGTTTGTTCTCTTTTCTGTGTGGGCTCCAGTGTAGTGGGTCATGGAGGACTTCGTTACAGGTCACGTGACATCGTTAAGTTATATTAGTAATGCTGGGAAACAGTGCGTGAAATAAGATTGAGGAGGAAGAGTCAGACTGAATCAGCATGCAGTACATATAGCTTTGTACAACTACAGATTCATTTATTAAAAAACTTAAAAGCAAAACAGCAGAATATTAACAAGCCTTTATTTGAATGAAGAAACGCTTGATTTTTACTGATTGACCTTTTTACTTCTACTTTATGTTTTTTTAAAGTGTTTAAGGAGTACGCTTTACTCTTACAAAATTTATTAGAAGAAAAACCCTTGGGAGCAAATCTTTCTATCTCAAACTCACCAGTTAGGAGTTTAGAGAATCTTACTTCATTGCTAAATGAAATTCTTACGTAATTTTGATCGGTCTGTATAGCAGCGTGCTGTTCTTACACCTTTGTGGTTTTTAAACTGAAGCTTCTAAGGTCCTTATTCAGCAGCCTGCTGTCTGAAGTCTGAGCACCTCGTCCTGTTGAGGCGGATGAAGTGGGTCTGCGCTGCCCCGGGGAGGAGAGGGGGCGGAGGGCAGGGACGCTGAGTTCAGGCTTCCATCGTCCAGAGCCCGCCAGCGGTCAGGTCGGCTCCCTGCGCTCCGGTTATCTCCCTGCGCTTCGGCCTGTTTTCCAGGCTCACACGTCCAAGGACTGTGAAAGGAGAGGAACGTGATCCCCTGTTCTCTTACGTCCTGGCCAGCCTTGGCTCCCCGACTTAGGAGTTGGGGTACCCTAGGGAAGCATCGCCAGCCCCCACCCTCTGCCGCGCCCTCGGGAAGAGTCCTGAGATGCGTGCTTTCCAGAGCGCGCCCTCCCGGCCCTTCCTGTGTCCTCCGCTCCTCGTCGGCGCCCGCGTCTCCTCGCTGTCCCTGTCTCCGGGCGCTGGTGAAGAATGCGGCCTCGGGGTCGCAGGTCCCAGCAGGTCCCTCTCCATTACTTTCCAGCGCTGAGACCTTGCTAAGCGCTTAATTCCTGGAACTGGACGTGACGCCGCTGCACCTCCTCCCGGGCTTGTGAAGACTGAGTGAGCTGACGCGGGGAGAGCCCAGCCCGGGGCCGGGCAGTAGCTGCGATCGTTCCCACCCACGCGAGCCTCGCCACTTTACCCTCCACGTGCCGCAGCCGGCCCAACCCGCGGCCTCGCAGAGGGCCCTGCACGCCGCGCGCGTGGAGTGCAGCTCTACTAGAGCTGCTTTTATGCTGAACCAGAGTCCTGTGACTCACGCTTGAGTTCGTTTTCCCTCTGGAATCACCTATACACAGCTAAAAGGAGATAAAAGTTCGTAGTTCCTCCTTGTAATCAACAGTTTCTTCATCTTTTAATCATGAAGCTGAATAAAAGGACCTCCCCCCCCCCCCCGAGTTAACTGTACTAAATCAAGAGAGCATCGGGCAGGCTCGTACAAGGACTAGGTTTTAATCCTGACTCTGTCACTAAGCTGTTTTGCATAAAATGAGACCTGTCAATCATGGCACTCATCTGAAAAAGGAGCGGTATATCATAGCACCCACGACAGGTCAGTTTGCTCTCACATTTCATCTTCCATAGGTTGGCAGTGATAGTTCAGGTACGGTGTTGCGAGGGGATCTAGGGAGGGTGCTTTCTGAACTCAGTTAGTGATGTCTGCCAATAATACCAGGATATTTTGGTAACATTTGGGGCACATACTTACTATGCCTCTGCCCAGTGGTTTAAGGCGGCTCATGGCTTCAAATCTACTTAAGAAGCTAATTATATCAACAGGTAGGTAATCAGTGTCATCGCGGGGCTCTGGATTATACTTACGCAAACGACATAAAATGCTCTCTCTAGCAGGTAGTGTCCTTCATGCTGTCCGACAGGAACTGGGGGGAAGCAGAGGCCGAGGAGTTCAGAGGGGTTGAGTGGAACCTTCACGAGGGAAGTGAATCTCAGGGCAGCACAGAGGACTGGATAGAAATAAGCGGGGAGGGGTACTTTCAAGATGAGAGGAGCCGCATGAGCAAACCCCAAGACAGCAGTAAGCCGTTACGCTGACTGCACTGGTAAGAGCTAATACATGGAAGATGAAGGATGAGCTGCCGGGATTAGGGAGCTCAGTGAAAGCCAGAGGACTTCATACCCGGCGTAAATGCTCACTGAACAACTTGTTACTAATCCTCCCCATGACCCTGAGGTTGAGTATTATTGGTAACATCTCAGTTTGACAGGAGAAGCCACGGCTTACAGGAGTTCATAACGTCCTCTGCCACATGCTGTAACTGGGGAGAGCAAGGGACATTCTCTGTTTGCCTGAGTCCACGAGCATGCTCCTCTGGGGGATGAGAGGCCTGGGATTACTGGGAGCGTGTTGGATTTATTGGCAGACGCAGTAAAATAGGGAAGGAACGGGGAGTGTAATTGTGCTCCAGTTTGGAAATGCTGACCGACTCCTAGTGAAAGTGACAGCGGGGGCTGACTTGGAGGGAGAGATTAGGTCTAGAGATCTACATTTGCAGGCTTTGCTTGTTCCTGCAGTGAGAGTGAATGGCTTTCTAAGGAAGAAACTGTCACGGACACAGCTGAGGAACACCTGCAGAGAAAGCAGGGCCCACATTTCAGAGCCGTTTTCAACAAGTCTGGTGGTTTATTTAACCCAAAAATGTCTTAGTAATTTGAACTCTTCAAAGAGAGCGTTATAAAAACAAAGTTCACTTCGGGAGGGTGGAATCTGAGGAGGGAAGGATTTCAAGAGAAGAATCCTAAGGGTTGCATGCAGTCTATATTCTTGACAGAGGACTTTCCCATTTTCATTCGGGGTATGAAGATGCTTTTGAACTACAGGATCACACACAAGCACCTGGATTGCAGTTATGTAAACAGTGGTCTGTGCAGCAGAGTGTAGATCACGCTGCCCAGTGCGAACCTGGAGGGAGCAGGAGCCCTGGAGTTCAGTGGTGGAGCGGAAACTCCTCGGAAGAGCTGACCTTACGGTAGCGTAGAGGACGAGGTAGCACAGCGGGCGGGGTGAGCCGTCGTCTCCATCTCCCCGCCGGGCTTCACGGTTCTCACGCTGTTGAGCAGTTTGAAGTTGAAATGCAGGCTGTGCTCGGCCTGTTTCATCCCAGACACGTGTTCCTGCTCGTGCGCTAAGGCGAGGAGGTCATCTTGGCGAACGTGTCTGAGGTTTCCTACAGGGTCGGGCTCTTTAGTCTGGTTTGCCCTTTGTCTCCGCCAACTTAAACAGCCTTCCATGCAAAAGAAGGGAAACAGGAGGCCGTTTGCTTACGACTGGACTTTTGAAACCGAGATCCCGCAGAGCTGTAAGGTCGCACCGAGCGAATCACGGAGCGTTTCCGGGGCGAGGCCTGGGCTGAGTGGCCCCGTCCCGTGGTCACGGCGCTGTTCCAAGGACCCAGGCTCCTGCTGCTTTGCCCCAGTCCTGGAGTGCGTGTCTGTTGGCTGATGCGGTACGCGTCTGCGGGACTGGGCTCCCTAGGTGCTGAAAGGGTGTCAGTGCCTGCCAGGAGTGCAGAATATGTGTGGTTGATCGATTATTTAACCAGTTGCCTCCTTTTTCTAAAATTTTTTTTAGAAACATTTTAGATGGAAACAATTCTTTTTTCCCAAACTTTTCTATTCCTTCCCATTCTCTTCCTCTTTTAAGATATCTAAATATGTTCTTTTTTCCCTAAGAGATGCCAAAGGAATTAAATATGACATAAACAAAATTTCACCTATTCTACTTTGCCACCGCTGTACCTAAACCCATCGTTCATTTATACGCGTACACCCATATATGCATGAACGATTGGTGCCAGACTTCTTCTCCATTACCTTAAATTACCTAGAAGTATTACTTCAGTTGGGTTTGTACAGAATGTAATTTTGAAACTCAGCTGGTTCCTTAAAGTGAATTAACCCAAGGATGGGTCGATCTTTGCCCACATGCTGCAACCTCCTGGAACACTGGTACTGAAGTCAGTGTCCTTGGACTTCTAGAGAGAGCCAGCAGAGCCTCTTGCGATTTTAAGGTGTGTTAATGGACCTAGGTTGGACACTGGCCACTCTACACCCCTTAAAGCACGTTTCTAGGTCCTCCCTGTGCGTTAGGAGCTCTGCTTGTGATTTCCCGTTTAATCCTTATGTAATCCTGGTGAAGTAATAATAAAGTAGCAGTATTTGGGGGGTTCAGGGGGTTTTACCCATATGAAAGCTGAGGCTCAGGGTGGCTACACCGTTGGGACAGGCGAAGGCTTACATTTAAGGAGAAATGCCTCTTCTTGACGGGGCCTTTGCCCAGAGATCCTGGACTCATCCGGCGCCAGTGACTGAACAAGCTTTCCTTCTGTCTGTAAGGCCTGCCTGGCCGTATGAGAAGAAAGAGAGAGCTGTGTGACTGCACCCGTGAATAAAGGACTCCACCTGCTTACCGTGCAGAACAAGGAGGCGGCTCCTGCCAAAGTGGAGGAGGGCGGGCGCACAGCTCGGCAGGGCCTGGGGAAACTGTGTTGCCGCATCTGCGGTCCTTGTGTTCCAACAGCGAGACGCACACAGCGTGTGTGTCCTCTTGCCTCAGGCTGTCCCTGAGAGGCCAGTTGTGTCCGTTAATATCCTTGGTGCCAACTGGGTGTAGTTCTGACCTTTTTTGATGGGTGCTAGGCACTCAAGCTGAGCTACTAGGCACTAATAAGCCCCTTTTAAGTCTGTGTGTGTGTGTGTGAGAGAGAGTCATGCTTATACATGTTAAACATAGTGTTAGCACTCAAATTGAAATCTCACACTATAATCTAGGTATATCATCCTGCTTTTTTTTTTTTTTCCCTTTTTGAGACAGGGTCTCGCTAGGCAGTTCAGGCTGGTCATGAGCTTACTTTATAGCCCACTCTGGCCTCGAACTCACAAAGATCCTCCTGCCTCAGCCTCCTGAGTGCTGGGATTACAGGTGTGCACTGCCACACACAGCCAATCCTGCTTTATTTTTAAGGCCCAAAGGTTTCAACTAAATTAGGAAACAAAGTAATGACCAAAGAAAAGTTTTCCCTGTAAACTAGCATTATTTGGGGGGCTCAGTTCTCCCCTTTTAAGTGCCCCAAAGATTTCTCCTAAGAGAAAGATTAAATAATGACCCCAGAGTCAGTATAGAAACTCCTAACTGTAGAATTCGCCCTGCTTTTTCAGTGTACAACCAAGGACCCTTCTGAGGTGATGGCCTCTCTGTTACAGCAAACTGACCTAAAGAGTAGAACAAAATAGGGCATAGGAACACGAACGTGAAGGTGTGGGCCATTTGGTGTGGACCAAAGCGGTTGTCTGTCCACCTCTTCGGTGGACACAGTGGCTTGGAAGCGGGCCTTTTGCGTGGTATTGATATAATCTTAGTTGCTTTATGTTGTTAGTCTATTTCTGTCCCACAGGATAATGAACTCAGCTGACCTGCGCAGGTAGAGGAAGGCACTTTATGTCGGAACATTCTATTTAAGGTTGGTGCAGGAGAAAGAATTAGGCTGGAAATTGATGGTCGAAGGGCCTTTTGCAGTTTCCACTTCTAAAACCGGACGTCCTTCTTACTCAGCTGCTGCTAACCTTTATTTAGAACAGAGTAAATCAGTGGACTCACAATTTGTGTGATACTCTAAGGCCTGCTGGTGAACAACTTGTCTTTTTACCAGATGCCGTTATTCACAGTGTAAACGCAGTGCCCCGGAACAGTGCACATCTTACTGACGGCTTCCCACCGACCTGCGGCCCTGACTTGTTTCTGGAGAGGGAAGTAGCACCCAGCCCATCTCCACCTCACTTTCACAGCTGCTGAGAGCTTCTTACCAGTTCTGCTGAAGGTTCAAATGCATGGATTAGTTTGTGGATTTCACTGTTCTTGTACTTAGAAAAGATTCAGGGATACTTAAGCATGTTCCCAAACTCAGCCGTGGCATTTTCACGGTCCTGGCATTACACATTAGGATTACGTGCCTTCTTTAGAGCCAGGTAGAGGAAGAAGACGTTGAAAGTCTGAAATGTGATCTGAAAGGAGGCGCGGGCAGAGTGGCTGTCCAGGAGAGAGCTGGGGAGGCGGAAGCCTGGGTCCTCAGAGGGATGTCCTGCTGTCCAGTAGCCGTTACCACTTTTGTAACAGTGTCTAGTACCGCAGATGCGCCACTTGTCCTGGGACGCACAGGCCTCGTAGTAACAGCTGTAGTTCGGTGGGACAAAAGCAAGTTCTGAGTCGTCCTAAGCAAAACTAATAAGCACAACTGTCACGTCTGGTCCACCTCCTCTGACTACACTCGTCTGCTCTTGTGTCACTGATTACTTACTTTTATCCAAGGTACCATTTATTGGACAGTGCTAGGGAGCAGATGTATCCACCCTGTCAGTCTTATAAATTCCGTTGTTCTCACCACTTCACATGTGAGAAATAGGTGCCTAGGCTTCTGGCGCACAGTGACCTGCTAGCAGTTACGGAGTCGGGGAAGGGAAGGGCTGGACTTCGGTGGAATGTACCCTCGTCTTAGGGTACCCTTTCCCATCTCTGCTAGACAGGCCTGTGAAGGTGAAAGGAAACTGAGATCCAGCCAAGATGTCGAGTGGTTATTAAGGTTTTTACATGGCACGCACTTAAATTGATGGTAAGCACTTTGGCTTTGCTTCTGCAGATATTTATAATTTAAACAAGACTCAAAAACAAAAGCAAGCTATGGAGATGGAACTGTGGGTTAGGGCTATCAAGAATGCAGGGACCGCCAAAGACTCCTCAGATCGTTCCAGGTTGCTGGCTCTGTGGTGATAAGCCGAGCACTGTGTAGCCCAGCCCTATGCACATAACAGTTATTAGCTGATAACAGCGTGATCGGAATACACAGTGAATGTTTAAATGTAAAAATCCAGTGAAAGACCCTTACTTCTAATCCCCTCCAGAATATCCCTCCTCCCTTTGAACACACTGACCCCATTGTTCTTGCCACTTCTGAAGCCGTTCTGGACGTCCTCTTTCGTGAATGTTTTTATAAGTTGTGATCAATAATACACTGAGTGCTGCCGCTGCTGCTGAGTGGTCTCCAGCAGAAAGGCAGGCGCCCGGAAGCGTGAAGCTGTGTCCTGGCCACCTTACAGCAGCTCTGGCATCGTGTGACGTGTGGCTCTTCTTCAGGTCAAAATAGCCATAAAAGGTAAATATTTTGAATAGATTCAGGCTGCTACAACAACACACTAGAGAGACTCAGGAGAGGACTTCCAGAGCTGCTTCAGAAGGTGGCGAGAATGATGGGTTAAGTGTGTTCCAAGCAGAGGGGAGTATTTTGAGAGGATTAGTGGCAGTGTATCTTTTACTGTAATAAAGGTAAAAAGTTAAATATTCACTACCTATTTTGATCATACATTATAAAACTTAGTTTATCTTCTCATTAAGTATAAGATGCACAACTTTACCCTGTGACAGCGTCTCTGCTTTATCCACTACCCATATGTGCTATCTGCAGATTTGAAATGTTCATTGTTCGTAGGTCAGATTTTTGTCATAGGTTTTATATAACGTGTAGATGTATACTTCAAGAGAAGTGAGAAAATGATCCCTACTTCATAGAAATTTTTGGCTTTGTATTATCAGTGTTTCACATTAACCAGATATGAAAGTGAGCTTGCCATGTTGTATTTCTTTGAAACACTTGTGATATTTTACCTTGTTTGTTCTTGATCACAATTTTAGTGCGAACATACTTTTGGATGACCAGTTTCAACCGAAACTAACCGACTTTGCCACGGCACACTTCCGACACCACCTAGAACAACAGAGCTCCACTATAAATATGACCAGCAGCAGCGGTAAACATCTGTGGTACATGCCAGAGGAGTATATCAGGCAGGGAAAACTTTCTACGAAAACGGACATCTACAGCTTTGGAATTGTAAGTGTCAACACTTGTAAGTTAACAAAGGAGCAGAGTTCATTGCCCAGAATGTTGGAAATTCTAAAAAGAAACCGTCAAAGAGTTTTAACTTCTAGACTGACTCATTTCTTATCACTCATTAGCTCATACATTTTATGTAATCAGCAGAGTAGGAAGCATTAGAACGGTATTCATTGTCATAGGTAATACTTTGACATATACTGTACGTATGACCGACTCTCTGTATTCCCTGTAGGTAATAATGGAGGTTCTGACAGGTTGTAAGGTGGTGTTGGATGAGCCCAAGCACATTCAGCTGGTGAGAATCATTTTCCTGTTGGCGCCTGTTTCCTGGTTGTTTCCCTGGTTGAGTTCTGTGTACTGAGGGTATCTCCTCCTCTTCCTAGCGGGATCTCCTCATGGAGCTGATGGAGAGGAGAGGCCTCGATTCCTGCCTGTCGCTTCTGGATAAGAAAGTGCATCCTTGTCCTCGGAACTTCTCCGCCAAGCTCTTCTCTCTGGCTGGCCAGTGTGCTGCAACTCGGGCGAAGTTAAGGCCATCCATGGATGAAGTGCGTATATACGTGGATATAGTTTGAGCCATGGACAGTCTATGATGTATAATTGAAACAAATCCAGCTCCCATAGAGAATTCCAGCCTAAAGATAATCTTTCTGATCAAAAAGACACGTCACTTGGTTCTCAGGTAGAGGTCCTTATAGGGTGGAACCAGAGCACTCTCAAAAGATAGTGAAAGTCGTTGGGAGGAAATGTTTCATTCAGCGTTCATTAAGACGTCTGGCCTCCTAAAGTGCCTCACATATTTCCCCTACTCACGTTTTAGTGTGTTCATTTCTCCGTGGATGTGACTAATCAGCCATCCGTCATTTGCTTGTGTGTGAGTGAATACCAATTTAATGCCTACTTCGTACCTACGGACTTTGTTCTGGGTGCTGGGGATAAAACAGTGGTCAAGAGGCAGTGATTACCCCCAAGTCAGGCAGGACTCAGGTCACTAAACAAGGACTTTCATTCAGCAAGATCAGCTAAGCAGTAGACTGAAGCTCAGGCTGATGTGGGGACGTAGCGTCAGAACGCACAGCAGCCTGCGGCTGTCCAGGGAGGCTGGCGTTGGAGGCGGTCGCTCGGCTGTGATCCGCAGATGAAGCTGGGCCTGGGCAGCAGGAAGGATGGGAGGACATTCTCAGCGGAGAGAGGCAGCACCCTCGGCGCCTTCTGTGTGACAGGGCCCGGAAGTGAGGCGGCAGCCAGTTCAGATCAGAAGCAGGGCCGGGGATATAGCTCAGTGGCTTAAGCGCTTGCCTGGCAAGCACAACGTCCAGGTCCAGAGTTTGATTCCCAGTACCAAGAAAAAACAGTCAAGATCAGAACTGTGGTGGGAGAGGGCAAGAAAGTGTTCCGGTGATAAGGGGCCCGAACTCCATTTTAAATGCATGGATTTTGTCCCCGGTTTATTGTGGAGCTATGTGAAGCCTCTAAACAAGGAGCTGGCATCATCAGAACGTGCAGGGCGCCGGCCTGGCAGTCAGCGCGCTCTGTGCCTGACACCGGCAGGAAGAGCCGCATGGGCGCCTGGGCCCAGCTGGGCCTTACGAGCTGTGCCTTGGCGGGACGTGGGAGCCAGGTGGACTGGGGTCGGGCGCCGAGGCTGCTCCTTCCTGCGTCGTGACAGTGGTTCCCGTTCTGACCCGCAGCGTTAGTATTTCTAAAATCAGAATGATGTTACCCGTATAGCGTAAGTGAGGCGGTATACGTGAACACACTTTCATGCGGTGAAACTCTGTGTACATATTGTTGTAAATTACGTGTGTGTGTAAGGATGTATCGAGGGTTCTCACGTTGGCTGCGCATCGTCTGGGATGCTTTCTTGTTTTTTTTGAGACAGGGTCTCACTACGCAGTTCAGGCTGGCCTTGAACCCAGTTTGTAGCCCAGGCTGGCCTCAAACTTGAGTGATCCTCCTGCCTCAGCCTCCAGAGTGCTGGGATTACAGCGTGTGCCACTATGCCCAGCACCTGGGATGCTTTTAAAGTGCAGATTCCTGGACCCTCATCTTGTTTTTTGAGTGAAGTCTTTAGGTTGGAGTCAAGGGATCTGTATGAGTTATGACCCAAGTGTGACTGTTTAAATGTTTGAAAATTTATGACAGTGAGAGCCACACTGCCATTCATTGCGCTCAAAACACTTGCTCGCTGTGGCACACTCGCCCAGCGTGCCCGCCACTTGGGCCCCCGCTGTGCACGTCCTTGCTCGTGAGTGTGTCACGAGGCGTGATCAGAACGAGGTGAGGCCAGCGCGCAGGCCGGCTCCGGAGGCGTCCCTCGGATCTGACGCTGTGTGCCTTCTGGCTCTTCCCCAAAGTCAGAGTGGCCGTGACAGGTGAATGCTTCGAGCCCATTGAGGACGTCCGGCTGAGATAGCGCGACAGGACACACAAAGGAGGACTTCATTTACTTCAATACATTTTTAAAACTCTAACCACATGTGCTGCCTTTTTTCAGTCACGCTTTGTGTTTACAGAGCGCTGCTGTCCGGTGAGTCCGCAGATGCAGGCAGCCCTGCCCTGAGCCTTCCAGGCTCCACTCATCATGGTTCGCGTAAAAGATGTAGACTCACAAGGCCGCCAAGGTCATCGGTGGCAAATCCAGGGCTGAAGTCCGCTTGCTCGATACTTAGGTCGGTGTGGTTTCTTTTACACCATGCTGCGAGTCACTTGCTGTGGTCCTCACATGAAGGGATTTTGCTAATATTTAATTAAGGTCTTTTCTAAGTCCAGATTCTGAACTAACTGAACTTATTTCATGAAAATGAGGGAAATTCTCTACAGGTAGGGAGAAAGAAGTGACAGAGGACGCTATTGAAGCTTAACTCTGTGTTTGTTTGCTTCTTCGTTAACCAGGTGCTAAATGCTCTTGAAAGCGCTCAGGCCAGCTTGTATTTTGCGGAAGACCCGCCCACATCACTCAAGTCCTTCAGGTGCCCTTCTCCCGTATTCCTGGATAATGTACCAAGTATCCCAGTGGAGGATGACGAAAGCCAGGTTAATCCCTCGCCGCCTCGTGACAAAGGTTTGAGGAAAAACAGACCGACCCCAAACATCCCTTTCGAGTGTAGCCAGTCTGAGGTTACGTTTCTGGGCTTGGACAGAAAGACAGGGAATAAGAGAAATGAAGACGCCTGCAGCATGCCGAGTTTTCCTGGCGAGGAAAGTTGGTCCCCAAAGCGTACAGCTTCGTCCCAGGACCTACAGGCCACCGAGGTGAACTTGGACTCTTTCTTGGAAGCCCCCAGCCATTCTTGCGGCTTGCAGAAGCAGGCCGGTGCAGACTAGGTGCTCCTCGGAATTTTTCTGCAATAAACATGAACAGTACAAAAAGGAATAAATCCCACCGGAAGGCAAAGAAAGAAAGCAAGAGCCGCGGAGGCACGCGGGTAAAGGGTGTCACCTCGGGGAACATGGCCCCGTAGGTAGTGCTCGGAGCATGGCCGGTGGCACGCTCGGGGGATGCAGATAAACACTAAGGACAGTTCCATTCGCTCCTCCCAACCCAAAGCAGAGTGACTTACGCAGATGTTTCACCAGAGTAATTGCCGCATGAAGGAACAAAGTAGGGCCATTCACAGTTACTCAAGACTCTGTGTGCGGACCTCAGCCAGACAAAACGGTCAGAAGCTCACAAAGGAGAACGGGTTCTCAGGCCCGGCGACACCCGAATGAGCCCTCAGACCCTCGTAGCTACGGATGTTCCGTTGGGTCCCGTCGACTGGTTTAGTTTGTGAGGGAAATGTGTAACTTGTAAGTGTTAGTAGCTGTCTTGTTGAAAGAATTGCCTTTTTACTGTGACTGGCGCTTCCTGCTTTTGTGTTATCAAACGTCCCTTCCTAAAATGAGCCCGGTTTGCCCTTGGCTGGGAAGGGCGTGCTGTGTGCAGAGCCAGGGTTCCTGCTCAAGATCTGTATTTGTGTGAGCTCCTGGGTAGTTTATTATGTATAATCTAGTTGCTGACTAGTGCTGCTGATCTTTACTAACTCAGAAACCTACTAGATCCTGTGTAGAAGGTGTAACATTTTAACCAAATAATTGTTGCTGAGAGAATAACTGGCCCTAAGAGCCCAGGTTAGCTGTGGGGCTCTGTGCCTTCCAGCTGTGTGCCTTTGTTCCAGCTGTGTTCTTGGAGCTCCCTGTTTGAAATCTGATCAACTGTTAGGCTCTGCAGAACTCTCATCCTCCGGGAAGCCGCCCCAGTCTCTCCAGCCAGAAGTGTTCACTTCATCAGCATTTCCATAGCGATTTCTTTCCATTTCTGTTTTAGACTTGTCATTTTCTGAATTATATCCAAGTTGCCCACGTCCTCCTGTCTCTCTTACTACATTGTAAATTCCTTCTACTGTATTCATCTTCCATTGTGGTTGTAGCAAATTGTCATAAATTTAGTGATGTGAAATGTCTCAGTTCTAGAGGCCCAAACCCCGGGGCATCCCTCCTGCAGGCGGTAGGGGGAGTTCTTTGCGGGCCTTTCCTAGCGCCTAGTGCGCCACCCGCATTTCTCAGCTCACGGCCCCTTCATTAACATGCGCTGGAAGGCCTGGGGAAGGCGCAGCGTGCAGGGCCCCGTCCCTGCCTGTGCGTGCAGGCTCAGGTTAGAAAGCGACTTTCTGAGCGCTTCCCAGGCAGTCCTGAGGCTGCCGGGGTGAAGCCCACGCCTCGAGAACCACTGCCTTAAGGTTTCCTCAAATTCTTGTGTGTTGGCAGACTCTACCGTATATATTATGAGAAAAAGATGACTTACTTTTCTGTATTCACTCTCTTACCTAGGATATTGATTAGCATGGAGCGGGAGCTCTAGGAATGCTGAGTAATGATCTTATTAAGTGTGTTTATTTTGTACATCTAAAGACTAAGATCAGCTGGCTGTGGTAGTGCACACCTATAATCCCGGCACTCAATTGGGAGGCTGAGGCAGGAGGATTCTTGCAACAGAACAGCCTGGGCTACAAAGTGAGCTCAAGGCCAGCTTGAGCTGCATATTGAGACCCTGTCTCAAAAAGACAAAAAAATTAAAAAAAATAAATAAAGACTAAGATTCACTGGCAGTGGTCTGATTGATGCCATGAGCAGATGCCGCTGTTGCTGAAAAGCACCTAGCCCTCCGTTGAGTGGTTCAGTCCTCCTGACTAGGTTTGGCCTCTAGTGGGTGCTGTTCATTGATAGGAAGTAAGTCTTGCAGCCTGCGGCAGGTGATCAGGGAGTACCCTCGTGGTTTCCTGATGTGGAAACGAAGGTGTGTGACGAAACCAAGAGTGAGCCTCCGGGCCTCTGATATGCAGACATGGATTTGAGGAAAGAATTCTGCTTATCAGAGGGAGCACTAGCACACACCTCTAATCCCAGCTACCCAGGAGGCTGAGGCAGGAGGATACTAAATTTGAGATGAGCCGGGGCGACTCAGCCAGACTCTGTCTCAAAATAAAAACTACTAAGTCCTGCAGGTGAGGCTCAGTTGTAGACCCCCTGCCTGCCGTGCTTGAGGCTCTGGGTTTAAGCTCTAGTACCACAAAAAATAAAATGAAAGTACTGTGCTCACCTTCACCCTCTAGTCAGATCCTATTTTCTGTGCTTCTTAAAGAGTTTTTGTCCCATTTCATAATTCCCTAAAAACATGGAGAAAATACTTTATTGTTTTGAAAATAGGTGTGGATTTCTGACATAATCAGTCTTATGGGCTTTTTAAGTATTGTAATGATCTTGGACTCACTGCATAGTGGTGTAGCTGTGTGGCGTGGTGCGCCAGCCTGTGTGGGACAGCCGTGCAGACCCCTGGTCCCGTGAGGCGAGGACATGAGCTCTCTCTCCGGTGGCATCTCCTCGGCATCTTTTAGAGTGAGGCACTGTGCCAGCTGGCAAGTTGGGGGTCCAGGTGAGGAGCCCTGCGGTAAGCAGGAGGGCATCTACTTAAGTTACCTGTTCAGTGACACCGGTTATTTGAGGCGGACGTCAGAGGAACAGAAAGTAAGTGCTGCAAGGTGGAAGCTTAGTAGTTGGAAGTAGATTACTGCACGCTTCGGAGAGAATGAAGAGGCTTCTTGGAGATGTGTCCTGAAAAGAGAACAAGGACTAACAAATACAAAAGCTGTTCGGAGGCACTTTACAATGGTTATGTCCGGAGTGCGGCTGTGACCTTACCGTCGCTCCGGCTGGCAGGATGGGTGAGTGATGGGAGCCGGATGTGGAATTCTGGGTATCTTTTCATGCTTAGCCCTTACAGCTGCCCTGAGGATGTGAATCCCACCTCACAGAGGAAGAACCCGACTCAGAGACGTTAAAGAACTTGGCCAAGGTCCTCCCAGATTTGGAAAAGGCAGCAGGATTTGTCAGACTCCAACGCCTGTGATCTTTTCAGTGTTCCATGCTGCACAGAAAAGCCACTGGGACGTCAAGCCTATGCACGGTGTGGATGGGAAAGCGAGTCGTGTTTCACGCACTTGCAGTAGCTGTGCGAGGCCTTTCATCACTTCTGCGTCTTCCAGCGTCCTGCCTCTGCTGGAGCCGTGCACCTCTGCAGTCATTCACGTGACCTAAGTGATCCATCCATCAGTTCGGGAAACGATCATTTGTAGGTGGCCTCCTTTGTGTCAGGTGCTGTGGTCGGAGCCGGGGATATGGTGAACATCAAAACCAAGGAAGACCCACGCTCACGGAGCCCGTACTTGCCTGAGGGGTTTCAGCTTGTTCTGCAGTCATGGGTCCCGCTTCGCTGTGAGCTTTCCCTGAGGGGCTCAGACAGGCGTCCCCTTGTCTGTGTGTAGCTCGTAGCCCCAGAGTGCCCTGCTGCCTTGCCGTTCGTGTGCTCTGAGCAGTGTCTGGCATGTTCTGTGGCAATCATGACAGACCCTATTTTTCTATTAAAAATTTCTTCAGGGCATTTATTTGGCTACTAATGGCATCTTCAGCGTGCTTTTTCCAAAGGGTCAGAAGTGCTACCTAAACCTCACCTCACTATTACATAGTGCTGGGATTGCCTATAGAATTATATTCCTCCTGTACAAAAGTGAAAGCTCACTGGGGACGGAGGCTGTGCTGCTGCTTTTGTGTCCTTACTGGGTAGCATACCCCCTGGATGCAGTACGGCCCGATAAGTATTTGTAAAAGGAGTGAGTGAGAAAGTCCTTCAGAGCATCTTCACGCCCGTCGGTCGAGCCAGTGCCGGCGAACCTGTGGCACGCGTGCTGCTGCTGGCTGCTGGGTGGTACCGAAAGCTCTAAAAGGTTCGTAATCACTGGGGTAGTCTATGTCAAGACCATAATCCAGAAAGCACCCAGTTTGTCACCCATCGTTTGCTTACCCAGTTCCATTTCATCATTCTTGGGTGAAAGTTATTAATTTCAAATGTTAATGTCTGAAATATCTTTGAGAAAAGGAGTTAGACCTTGTGTGTCTTGCCTACGAATTTGTCCTGTAGTGGAAAACATTCCCAAACCCTGTTAAGCAATGATAAACCAGTGTTTTGGCAGGGAATGAACTGATGTTATATTTTGTTCTGTCTTTTTGTCACAAAATATTTATTTATATTTGATTGTCCTTGGTCTTGACTTGCAAGTATTTTTTTAGAAGCATTTTTATTCCAAAGAACTGTATCGCCTACTGTCTTGGTTCCTTTTTTTGGTGGTGGTGTTGCTGAGACAAAATATCCAGTGCCCAAAGTTAAGGTTTATTTAGCTCACACTTTGTGGAAGTTGTAGTCTGCAGTCAGCTGGCTCCAAGGCAGGGTTGCAGTTCACAGGGGTCGCAGTCCAGGGCAGCCGAAGACAGCAAAAGCAGCAAGAGCGAAAGCGGGGAGAAGCAAGCCTCTTTTTCTCTCAAATTGTCCGCAGGCTGTCCGCCCTGGTGGGAAGGGTCCTTTATACCCACACCACCTCCCTGCCTTCTTCTTTTACAAGCTCAGGGTGTTTACAAAATAAGGACCCTGGCTCCCTGCTGAATTAAACTTTTAAACTGCTCAAGTTGACACAGTGTGTCAACCATTATAAAACCTACCAAGTAGATGAGTCTTTTTGTGGATGTTGCCTGGTTTGGTATAAACTTTTGCAGTCCTCTCTATAAATAGCAAGAAAATATTTAGAGTTTTTCTTTGGTTTCTTAATTCTAAAATATTCTCAGAAACCAACATTAACTGGAATAAAAGGTCGTAGGGTAAAAAGCTTATTTGCAGAAGATGCAGAGTGAGTTATCACTGTTGCATGTAGTAGTGTGTGGGGTGTGTGCCCTACCACTGAGGCTCTGAACAGCCTGTTGAGCTGGATTCTGTTACTATGGAACCAGGGAGAAGGAGGCGAAAAGCGTTTCACTCTTGTCCTGGTCACACTGCTGTTGGCTGGGGAACGCAAGCTGAAAGCTCTTCAGTCAAGTCCAAGAAGTATCCGCCCTGAAGAAAGGTAGCAGAAATGAAAAGTATCTCCTACTTAAAAATGGAAACAGCTAGGAAGTATATTGTGATTCTTTCCTGCTCGTTCTTAACTTCGTCTTCCCAGATGGACAGAGGTGAAAGCAGTTGACAGATGAGCTAAGCAGCGCCCTTCTCCACTGTTCGCTGGCGTGAGAATTGGCACAGCCTTGCTAGAAAACAGTTGCGCAGTATGTGGCTTACGAAGTAATCTCAGAAGTCACAGCACTGCATGAGCGTAAGCCCAAAGAGGTGCTTCGTGCTGCCTGGGACATTAAAACATTGGGAGTAAGCTAAATGTCTGCAGTAGAAGACGGGTTAAATAATTGCAATGCATACATGCAAGTACATTACATGCAACTGCCATTAAAATTATTTAGATCTATATTGCTGTGGAAATCTGTTTATGAAATGCTGAATGAAAAAGCAGAGCAGAGTGCAGAATGGCGTGTTTAATAGGGGCCCACTTAATAGTGAATGTTTTTAAGATAACATTTATGTTTCACAGAGAGCCCTTTGTCAAATGTTAGTGGTTTTTCTTTCCGAGCTGCAGTATTTAAGTAATCTGTATTTAGACCTTTATGTATTTGAAAATTTTAGTGTGTATCATTTTTATTATCTGAAAAGAATAAAGCTATTTTTATTTAGGAAAAAATTCTCTGTGTGTCTACATTTGCCTGGTTCTTTGCTTCATGTGCGCTGGATAACAACCAGCAGGCAGTAGTCGTGCTCCTGTCCCACTGCCCTTTACCATTCCCAGCTTCCTGCCTTGTGACTGGGGCCGTCAAATGGACCTGTCTGGTGTCTGATATCCCCTGAGCGAGCTGTGGGAGGACTTGGGAAAAGCAGTCTAAGAGGCAAAAATCAGAGAAGCTGAAATACAGACTACAGCTGAGAGTATTTTGTAAATA